GGTGGGCAGCCCGGCGGATATCTAACGCTCGGCAAGTCATAAAATCCAATCCATCCTTTATTGGGAAGTCAATTGTGAAAATTGCGACGAACAGCCTGCTGCCTCTCTGACATAGTAAAAAGCTATTGCTCACTGTCATTCCACAGGAATAAATCTCCCGGCTAATCGCCCGGTTTTGGCACTTAGCAGGTAATGGGACAGTGTGCGCTGCTTTGTAAACAAGGGGCAGGGTGGGCTTAACTGTGGCTGGGGTGGGCGGGTCTGGCGCTGAGCATCGAGTGGCGATGGGCAAACCGCGGAGCGTGCTGATGGAGAGGGGGTGCTCCGTGCTTCGGCCTGGTCCCCCCCCCTCCTCGCACGTTAATCAAACTCAGAACCCAGAGAGCTTTGTTGCCGTGCAGCATTGCACAAGCCGCGACAAAGGGTAAACGTTTGCAGCCGTTCAGGGCCCCGAGATCACGTTATTGTGGGAGAGCGTCACTCACTGTCCCTCAGGCTGCGACAGCTGAGCCCTCCCCCAGCTGGACTGACAGGTGTGTGTCACTGCGTTGGTTTGGGGACGAATGTATCGAGTCCCGAAGTGCTTCTTGCAGTGCAGCAATAAAAGCCTCTCCATCTCACTGTCTCTTTGAGGCTTTCTCTCTGTCTCTCACCCCGTTCTTTTCTGCTCTCTGTAACTCCCTTGTCTTTTTTGCCCTTTCCCTCATTTCTCTATCTCCTTTTTCCTCTCCGATTCTCTTTATCTCCCTCCTCCCCTCTCGCCTGTCTCTGCCTGTTCTCGACCTGTATCTCTCCTCTCTATCTTTCTCCATTGCTCTGTCTCCACTCCCCCCCCCCAGTCTCCCCATCACCACACATATCTGTCTTCTCTCCTTTTCATTCTCTCCTTCCATGTGCCCTGGGGCTCAGCTCAGGCGCTGTCAGGTGTGATCCAGGGCGATTAGTACAGTAGGTGAGTTCACAGGCTCGAGTACGAATGTCACAGGAGCAAAAGGCAAACCCTGGGGTGTCCCCGGTTCAGAGCAAGCACACATGGACATTAGTTAACCTATTAATTATTTAATCAGCCCGTTAATTACATGAGTATAGCATTTGTATTACATGTGTCAATTTGGGATCCTTTTATAAGGGAGTTTTATCATGAAAGTTCAGGAGGGATGACAACAGCCAAGTTCAATCAGGCTCGACTTTCTAATTAGCAATCACCGCTGATGTCATTTTATCCCCTAAACACGAATTACTGTGCGTGATCCCCTTCTCTCCCTCTCATATGTCTTTTGCCCACCTCCACCCCATCTCCCCCTCTGCAGCTGCCCCTGGGTCACCCCTCACTCTGCAGGGGGGTCCCAGCCTCCTCGTGCTCTGGCCAGGAAGGTGAAGCCAAATTTTGACTCAAGCACTCCATGATCCTTTCAGTCCACTTAATTCTTCGGTAATCGTTGTCACCATTGTAGTAGAGTAGTTTATTGCCATATGCACACGTACATTGGAATTCTTGATCGCGCTGATCTCTCTGGACACACACAGTACAACAGACAACACCGCACATTGTAGATGACACGGACAAAAATAAATGTGTAGCAGTGAGATCTAGAAAATAAAAAAAAATGGTAGACTATAAAACGTGCAGAGTGCAGATGTGTGTTGAGTCTGAGGCCCTGCAGTGAGCTGTTGTTGAGGATGCTCACTGCAGTGGGATAGAAGCTGTTCTTGAGTCTAGTGGTCCAGCTTTAACAGTGCTGTACCGCTTGCCAGAGGGCAGGGGGGAGAACACTTTGTGGCCGGGATAGTTGGGGTCCTGAAGGATGGATTGGGCTTTACGGCGACAGCGGATGGTGTGGATCTGGGTTTTGTAGATCTGGCACTTTTTTTGAACAATACAATCGCTGTAATTTCATTGTTATTCCTAGCGAATCTCAAAGGATGCCCAGGTGCCTCACGTACTGTACAGGAGGGAACCCAGTTCCTCCCCCACTGAAGGGCAGCCCCACCTGGGAGACCCACAGCAGACCAAGGGGCAGGAGTGAGACGTTCTCTCTCCAGGTGGATTCATTTAAGGATTAACTTCAGGGCGGCCGGATTGGGCACTCCATCTTACAAAGAGAAGTCAAGCGAGTCGGAGTGTTCCATCTGAGAAGAGCTGTGGCCGGGCTCTGTGATTCCCCGAAGAAAGAAAAACAAAAAGTGTTAAAGACAGACTCAAAGAAAGAGTGAAAGAGAAAACCCAAAATAATAAAGAGTTTGTGTGACTTTTGAATAACCTTGCCTACTGTACTGTTGATTCGATATTGACCGATCGACCACTTTAACTGCAAGAGTTATGGCTCCAATCTCCCCTGTTCTTTCTCTCTCTCCCTCCAGCAAGTGCTTCAGCTTAACGTATATTTCTTATTTAACTGCTGGAGTAGCTTTCTGTCTCTTTATTCAATTATTTATGAAATCTGCTGATTTACAGTGGAGTGGCCAGGCACCAATACAAATCTGCCATCAGCGCTCGGCTCCTCGTTTCCTGCCAGCGGCGATTTCCCCTCCGTTGCTTCTGTTCGTCTCTCCGTTGGCGTAAGGGCAACAGTAATTCACTCCCGAGCGGCATTCCAGAGCCCTTTAAGACGGGGCTGTTGAGCGACAAGAGGCCCTTGATCTTGAGCCCGTCGTTGAAGTTTCATATCCGAGCTGGAGCACTTTGGACACAGCGTCTCCTCCAGGGAGCGCTTTCGGCTCTACAGTCGAGGCTGTAAAACCCCTCTAGTTTGTAGACACTGGTGACAGGGACTCGCACAGTGCAGAAGGGATGAACTCCTCAGGATTGGGTGGTCTGCAGCCAGCCGGGGTACCCCGACTTTCTGCAGAACAGCGCCCTCTGGTGCCTCGGAGGACACCATGCACCGTCGGGGCCGCATGTCGCCTGCGGCCCGATGGCGGGTTTCCGGTTTTGCAGAGGCGAGAAGTGGGGAGTGCACTTTTTTTGGGGGGTGGAGAAAGATCCCCACCCCGCGTGCATTCTGGTCCGGAGCTAATGAGAGGGGAGGGGCTGGTAAGAGGTGCAATAAAGAGAGGATCAAAATATTTGAGCTTAATTTACAACTTCATCTTCTTCTGTCTTCGCCCTCAAATTAAAAAGTGTAAGGATTGTAGAAGGCAATAATCACTTACAAAATCCCTCATTTGGAATAATAGAAACATTTTTGTATCTACTCATAATTGCTTACACTTTTATAGTGCTTTTCTGGACACTCCACTCAAGGCAGTGTATGTCTGTGCAGTGGTTCGCATTGCTACCTCACAGTGCTGGGAACCAGACACGCTGGCTGCATGGTTTTGAATTTTCTCCCTGTGCTCGAGAAGGTTTCCTCCAGGTCCTTCGGCTTTCTCCCCCACGGTCCACAGACAGGCTGGGAGGCTAACTGGCTTTTGGGAAAACGGACCCGATGTGAGTGTGTCTAAGTTTGTGATGGACTGGCGTCCTCTCCGGGGTGTAACCTGCCTTGCGCCTGGTCGTTGCTAGGATAGGCTCTGGATTAGAGAATGGATGGATCGATTTACATCCATTTCCAGAAAACGAGGAGCAAATTGTGCTGATGGAGTGCGTGGTACAGTGGGTATCCTGTGCAGCCCCATTGCTCCATGATCAATGCCACCTGCTACAGACGTTGGTCTCGGGGCCTGATGTGCATGTCCCTCTGTCCCTAGCCGATGCCATCCACAGCAACCCCGTGATTTTCCTGGAGGGGGGATCCAGCCCCAACCCTCCCCGGCCTGCGTCCCCCGAGCTGGGTGGGACCGGGGCAAACCGGGTGGGGCGCGCGCCGTGGCGGGGCAGCCTGACCAGCATCGACAGCGAGACCTCGGGGTGCTCCCTCAGCCAGCTGGGCAGCACCATCTCCACCGGTAAGGGCATCAGGCTCGGAGTCGCAGCAGCACTGAGGGAGGGAAGAAACTGAGGGCCTGAGATCGGGCTCCTGGGAGCAGCGCTTTCCTTTTAAAAGATTGATTCCCAGCTCCCCAGCCAACGCAGTCAGAGCAGGCTTTCGGCAGTCAGAATGCACGACTATGAAAAAGTGGAGGCTCGGTGTCCTGCGTATTTACGGTTAAACTTGTTAGGAACATGATGCAGCAATGAGAAGGAGGGAAAGGTGAAAAGGGAACCTGGAAAGAGGAGCCCATTCTGGTCACTGTGGAGCCCACACCCCTACCTAAGTGGTTCAGCCACCAGGGGGCGCTTTGCAGAAACTGCCACAATGCACTAGAGGAGGATTAGGGGTCTTGTGGCATGTGGCATGGCGGTCTCAGGGGTCAGACCAGAGTCATTCTGTCTTCCGTCAGCTGAGCTCTCAGTTAGTCCATTAGAGCCTTAGCCGGATGGATAATTGGCGTCTTTTCCAGGCCTTTGCAGTTTGCAGTTGTCACACAGTTGAACAGAGGGCTCAGTCCCGGCTTCAGTGTAATGACTTGAGCCAGGCTGGACCTGCAAAGCAGAATCCCCTCTTGAGCTGAACGCTGACTGCTGGGATGGCTCACTGGGACTGCACACTTTGATTCTAAGCCAAGTGTTGAAAGAACGTTCAGCCCCTGCATACTGAAATTCACCTCTGTCTGCTAGGAAGCAGGATTTTAATTACAAATCAGATTGGGAAAAATAGAGTAACTGGATCGTGCCTTTATTTAGATGTTAAAAAAGTCCTCTAAGTTGTGTTGATTTTTTCCTGTCAGATTTTTTTTATCTTAACATAATCAGTTTCCATTGCTTTTTTAATTTGGATTATATGCAGTTAAAGATTGTTTGTGTTAAGGGTGGTTTTCAGTGTGAAACCCAGCACTCCTCTTTCTCTCTCTCTCCACCCCTTCCTTTCCTCTCCTCATCCCTCTCTCCATCCCTTTTTTTAAATCCTGCCTCATCTCTCCTTCTTTCCTCCAATTGTCGATCCTGCCCTCCCCCCCCCAGTCTCCAGTACCTGGTGGGGGACGAAGCGGCTCGACTATGCCCTCTACTGTCCGGATGTCCTCACTGCGTTCCCCACTGTGGCACTGCCACACCTCTTCCATGCCAGCTATTGGGAATCCACCGATGTTGTGGCCTTCGTGCTCCGACAGGTACCAGACTGTGACCTTTGACCTCTAAGCCTTGCAGTGACCTAACCTGAACTACTTATCCCTAAACCTGTCCCTAATTCCTACCTCTTACTCGGACCCCTTGCCGAAACTCCTCATTCTAACTCATTAAGTCAGTTGGTGAAACTCATTAACCCCAAACCATGATGCTTATCCCTAACCTTCAGTTCTGTCTCTAAACTTTAACCCCTGACTCTGATCGCTGTCTGCTAACCCACTTCTGATGGTCATTCCCTGAAATTGCATGCAGCTAGTTTCAGCTCTGAGACCAAGAAAATACTGCTGGGTCATGCTGAGACGCTGGGGAGCTGAGCAGTCAAGGAGGGTCTTCCTGGGGTTCTGTGATGCTTTTACACAATCTGTTCTGAATAGTTTCCTCCCACGTTCTCTTTTAAGATGAGAGGAGGTTAAGGGCCAAGCTCAGCCCAATCTGATTTCCTGTACGGGAGCAGATGCTGTCTTCTTAGTAAAGTTTCCCTGCATTCAGTCACGTCCAGACAATTTCCCCCCTCTGGAATACTCACCCCAGGTTCATGGCTCTAACACTCAGCCTGGGTGCTATCGTGCAGCTCCATCGTGCCCTGTCTGTTCACTCTGATCAGCCCTTTCCTGTGATGAGCGCCAGCCTCTTGTCTCCTTCTCAATCTGTGTCCTCTTTATCTTGCAAAATGCGTCAAGCGTTATTTTTGGATACAGATGCAGAGATAAGTGGTTCTGCTTTTTTTTTTTGAGCGTGCGCAGTGTCAGGAGTAAAATAAAAAGATGAAGAACAAGTCATTTTGTACCTTTAACTCCTTCACAGCGCGTGTACTGACGGGGCTGGTTTGTGGAGCGTGGGTGGGTGTGCTCTGTCACTTCTGACACACTGAGAGACTGCCAGTCTCTCTGTCATGGCTTGATGAGCAAGGGACGTGTTTTCTCTTCCCTGGCAGCTGTCACAGAAGCTTTCGCCACAGAAGCAAATTTTACATTCCTGGTGATCCTGGTGAAAATCTTTGACGCGTTTTGAAAGTTTTCCTGCAACTTTAATGTCATTTTCTGCCAAGTTATGTGGTGTTAAATGTCATGAATATGGCAGCCTTGTGTTTTGTTTTGAGCTTTGCTGCCGACATGAGACACTGTTCTTGAGTATCGGGGGGTGCCCACTAACCCAAGGCTGACTGACAGCTAGAGTTTGACAGAAGTGATATGGACAGTGCTGATTGGCTGCTTGTTTGACAGAGCGGTGATATGGACGTTGCTGATTGGCTGCTTGTTTGACAGGTGATGCGCTGCGATTGCCTGAAAGCCCAGCAGGCGGATGGCTCTGACTCCGCCCCTTTCTCGCCCTCCAGCCCGCGGGAGAAGTGGCTTCGGCGCCGTACTCACGTCAAGCTGAGGGTGAGAGCGCCCCCTAGTGACAAACTACTAACCCAGTTTGCATTGCATGCAACTTGATAAGACTTGAAAAAAAATGTCTAATTGGGGGGAAAAACCCCAACAGTATTGTTATTTTACGTTCCAGTAGAAATATACTTAAATTCATTCAGATACATATACATGCCTATGGATTTTTAAGCTTTAAAATTCGCTGGGCCTAAGAGATACAGTATTAGACTACAGAAGTACACTACGTGATCATGATAGTGGTGGGGAGTCACTATAATATTTGCAGGGAAGAGGGAGATAACATGAGTCATCGCTGCTGTGACCCAGACATTGATTCTGTTCACAAGGACTGATATTTTTCATTTTTCTCTCAGGCCTTTAGCATGTACATGTAATGTAGCTGTGCACAATACCTGCTCTTTTCACCCATTTCAGTTCAGTGTCGATCTTCTTCTGCAATGCTTGTCATTTTGTTTCAAGCCAAACAGTTGATCCTGACAGATCTGTATTTTGTAGCCTTGCTCATATGTGTGGAGAGGGAATAAAGCATGTTAATGGTGAAGAGCACCTGCCAATGGGTCCATTAAATTTGATGGGTAAATGCTGCTACAACACTTCATACTGTCTGCTCATGTACAGACGACCTTGACTTGCTGTGTTTAGGGTTTCAACGATTCTAATCTGTGTGTTAAAGCTTTGTTCTTCTCACCCAAGTCTAAACTGTTTTAAATAACTGATAAAGTAGCAGAAAACATCAGTGGAGTAAACTGTTGATGCTCATTTGCACATACAGTGTATCTTATCTCCTGAGTGTGTCTAAGATGTCTGAAGACTTGCACTGCAGGAGCCTACATACTGGCTGTCATTGGCTCTGCTCCTTCACATGCCTGGTGTTCATGCTGTTTGTGGTTGTGTCTAGTGCTTCAGTAATAGTGGACACACACCTCCAGATTGACTTGCCATTAACCGATACTCCAGTTGCCACAGACCTGGAAAGGCTCTAAATTGGTTCAATTAAGCAATTAGCGAGGGCAGTTGAGCTCATTAAGCATTATTAAGCACAGGGAAAGGAATTGAAGTACTGTTTTATTTCAGTTCTACAGCCCTAACATAGAGGAATTTGTATTCAAAGCTGTTTTCTGTCCCTGTAGAACGGTATGATCATATGGCGACACATTGCAGGTTTAATAATGAGCTCAGATTTAGCCCTGAATGCATTCTGGAACCAATTTAGGCAATGTTGTAACCCACCATATTTAAAGACATTTTAAAATGTGAGCATTATCAACATACTTCAGATAAAATCTACTTGGGAGAGACATCAGTATGCAGATCGGGCAGAACACTCATATTCTCTGTTTCTACCCCACTGCTCTTACTCTCTGGCCGACAAGGGGTTGAAAAAGAAATCGTGTTTTTTTCCTATTAAAAGAATCTTGCATCAACAAGATTTGAGGTTTCTGTTCTCCGTGCTAACGTGTATTGAGTATGCCCATTAAGCACTTATTATTAAGCCGTGGTGCCAGACAGTGGCACAGCTCCCTCTGCTGGACAGAAAAGCAAATACAGTAGTATTCAGCTGCTGAAAACCACTCGATGCAAAGCTGCAGTCTTCTCCAGTGAGCAGTGCGGGCAGCAAGCCTTTGCAGATGTTTAAAATACAAAGAAAGTTAAATTTAAATCTCTTTAACCTTCACTTTTTTGAATACTTGGATCAGGGCTCCGTTGAGCCTTCTGTTTTCAGCGTTGAATGTTCATTTGAGCCTGGGAATATGTCTGAAATATACCAATATATATACCAAGTGACCAATATACATAATATACTAAGTGAGATATGTTAGTGCATTGTGCAATTGCAATATAACAACAAGCTCTTTTAATTCTATATTTATAACGTTATTAATGCTGTTGGTCATTTTTAGTGCATCTCTCCATTTTCTTATTTCTTTTTATTTTACTGTATTGTTCACTGTGCAGATGTTCAACAATATTTGCAATTTTTACACATTTTATTTCACCTCTGAACTACGTTAACTGAGCTCATAGTGTTCTTATTATGACAGTTCACTTAGATTTGAGTCGTACATGTAAAGTATTGGGAATTGAATTTTCCTCAATATATATTTTTCACATGACAAAAGGTTTCCAACTACCTTATAAGGTGGGAGTTGGGTGAATTTTTTTCTCTTTGTCTTCTGTACCTTTGATTGGAGTTCAAGTACTTCCAAGAGGAACTGTAAAAACAACTAGTTTTGACACAAACCTGAGCTTAATATCCATTTCAGTGAGGATTCTGACGTGTATTCCAGCACGGCTAATCTTATCCAGGTCCGCTTATTAAAATAAATTACTTGCTTAAGCCGGCGACACAGGCCCCTGATCGGAAGGCGGTGATTTCAAGATGTGGTTAAGGTTGGCTGTGGCCATGAATTTAAAAAAAAGATGAAGCTTAGGCCTGGTTTCACCTCCCTGCAGAACGTCACTGCCAACCACCGGGTGAACGATGTCATCGCTGCGGAGGACGGCCCCCAGGTGCTGGTTGGTCGGTTCATGTACGGGCCGCTGGACATGGTGACGCTCACGGGGGAGAAGGTGAGAGCAGGGGGAACCCCCGAGTTCGTGCAGGCGGGCGTCGTCCACAGGTGGCACCACCTGAGTTACGGGGCCCCCCCGACTTCCAGGCTTTCCGAGACCCAGCTGCGAGTTCGGCTGTGTTTTCTCACAGTCTCCCGCGGGATTTCTTTCTTAGTTCCATCACTTTCCATCATTTCATTCCGAGAACAGTGCTTCATGTAGACGTACCTTGAACTCGTACCTAAAAACGTACCTAAAAATCACAAAAATCATCAATTGTTGTGATTCTTGTGATTTTTGTGAGCTCGCAAAAAAGACATTTCATTGCCCGCAACTACTGCAGCAGGCTGTATTGTGCATTTGATAAATACATTTTGATTTGATTTTTGATTTGATTTCGGTAAGGTGTAGGGTAGGTTCAGATGAAACCTAGTCTCTGGCTTAATCAATCGCATGGTTGATTAGACATGGTCCCACTGTTTTGCTCTGTCCCAGTTGTCACACTGAGCCCTAAGCTCTTCCTCCAGGTCCGCCATTCTGTGACGCAGAGCAAGCTTGAACTTCAAGGGCGTGAGGATTCGAGCATTCAAGCGCTGAGAACAGGGCAGTGGGACCCCCCTCGTGTGCCAGCACTCGCTGGTCACATGGTTCAGGGTCAGAATGCTGTCTTGTCGTTGCTGCTTCTTTTCCAGTGGCTAAGTGCATGTCCGCAGATAATCTTTTTGAGACTAATTTTTTGTTCTCTAATGAATCGCTTGGATATTTTATTCCCCATGGCAACTTCTCTCCACCCTGATAGGTTAGAACATGAAATGTCCCCATTCTGCAAGGAATAGGGGGTGATTCCCTTCAGTGCAGTCTGCTCCGATGTGGACTTCAGAGAAGGGTACATTGTGGGTGCTGGTGAGCCCCCTTGTGAAACACAGATTTAGAAATGGGGCAGCCTGGGCCCTTGCATGGGAACGTGCACATACAATCGTGGATATAGCTGTAGTTTTGGAAGATTTTGCTGGTATACAGGGATCTGCATGGAGTACTGACATACAGAAGACATGATGGATGGATTAATACCCTCATTCATTTATTCCTTTTCTTTATTGTATAATGTTAGCATGCCCAAATGGGTTGGGGAGCCAGTTGACCTTGGACCCCCAGAGGTTTCTTTTCTCCTTACTGAGGGTTTTTTGTTTCCTCTCCTCCATTGTCTTCTGGCCTTTTCGGTTCTATATTCTCAACATGTAGGGTCACTTGCATTGATAAGCACCTTGGGGCAACCTGGCTGTGAAAGGCGCTATATCAAAAGAAATTGAATTCAATGGAACACGAAGGGCGCAAGTCCGCAAGTGTGCGTATTGGGACACGGCCTTTCTTTCGCCTCCCTCCCAGGTGGACATCTTCCTGATGACGCAGCCGGCCTCGGGCCGCTGGGTGCACTTTGACACCGAGGTCACCAACAGCAACGGCCGCGTCTCCTACACGGTGCCGGAGGGCAAGCGGCTGCCCGTGGGCGTCTACCCCATCAAGATGGTGGTCAAGTGAGTGAACCGCTCTACCCATATGGTGGCGAAGCCTCTGGCGGTCCCCCACCCCCCCTCCATTCCCTCAGCCTTTCAGAGTCCTGCTGCGCGAAGGAAGACAGGGCAGGCACTCGGCTTGAATCCGTAGCGCCTCTTATAAGTTAAAGAAATCCGAAAGAGGTCTGCAGCCACAGATGGAGAGGAAGCAGTTACAAATGTTATGCTTTGCAATCATAGTGAGGAAGGTCAAAGGTCATTGGCATGGCATCGCAGACACCATGATTTCTCTATGGAGGCTGGAGGTAGCTTTTTGCTTTACGAGTGAAACCTAGGTAGAACCACACCCGAAGCCGCTTGGCTCAGACCAGAAGGCTTTTTTGGAAAGTGCGTAAGAGGGATGCGTGGTTCGGAAACGTGCTGCCCCTCTCCAGTGGCCTCTCCCGTTAACCCCTCCCCTACCCACCCCTCTCGCTCCAGGGGTGACCAGACGAGCGCAGAGGCCTTCCTCACTGTGCTGCCGCGGGGGATGGAGTGCGTCGTCTTCAGCATCGATGGCTCCTTCGCCGCCAGCGTCTCCATCATGGGCAGCGACCCCAAAGTGCGGCCGGGCGCGGTGGACGTCGTCAGGTACCTCGCACCCGGGGGCGGGGGGGGGGTAGTCGCTTCCTTCCCTCGAGCTGGGGGCGCCGTCTCTGCGGACTTTCCGACTCTTCAGCTCACGAGCCCCCCCCCCCTCTCTGCAGGCACTGGCAGGACCTCGGCTACCTGATCATCTACATCACGGGCCGGCCGGACATGCAGAAGCAGCGCGTGGTGTCCTGGCTCTCGCAGCACAACTTCCCGCAGGGCATGATCTTCTTCTCCGAGGGGCTGGTGCACGACCCCCTGCGGCAGAAGACCATCTTCCTGCGCAACCTGGTCCAGGAGGTGCGGCTCGCTGGCGCCCCCCAGTGGCTCAGTTAGAAGGGCTACTAGAGGGAAGGTCCACACGACACATTGGTCAAGTAGCAGCAGCTTTAAACCCACAGAGCACCTTGAACAATGAGTCCGTATACCACGCAGGGCACAAGCCTTTCCTTTACTGAAGTATCGGTAGAAAGGGGCATTGGAGTTTCTCTCCAAAGAAAGAGGAATCGGTAGAAATTTCTTCTAAATCATCTCCAGTTAACACCCACCCCTCTGAGCCTTTAGAATAAAACTTACTGGCTCCTGCAGCAAGTCCTTGACTCTCTCCGTCCTCTCCTTTCCACTGTGGAGAAACGACGGGTGAGCAGAGCAGTCTGTTGCCAAAGCAGGACTTCAAGGACTTCACCTGACTAACCTGATTACTCATAACACCCCTAATGACTTCATTTTCTTGGCCGCCAAAGAGCAATTGATTCCTTAAGGCTTGACCGGAGCACAGCCGGGCGAGAGTAGAGTCCCGATGACCTTGGGCCCGTGCGGGTGGTGGTTGGCTTTGGGCAAGGCGCCGGATGGGCGGGCTGAACCGTGTCCCTGTGTTTCAGTGCCACATCAGGATCAGCGCTGCCTACGGCTCCATGAAGGACATCTCAGTGTACAACATGCTGGGCCTCAGCCCCACTCAGATCTACATCGTGGGCCGACCCTCCAAGAAATACCAGAACCAGTGCCAGGTAGGGGAAGCCACTCCCAGTGCCGGCCCGCTCTCACCCTCACCCGGAGGAACATTACGGATATACTGACATTAATAATCCTTCACTTCCTTTCACCGCAACAACCGCAACCTGGCCAAGAGGCCGGCTGCTATTGTCCAGAAGACAGAAGAGAGACAGAAGGTGAAGGGCTAAGAAAGACAGATAATACCACAGGATGTATTAGCAAGTGCAGGCGATGGGTAGAAAAAGGGGTAGCGCACAGCAGAAAACACCCCCCCCAGGCAGGAAGGTGATCAGTTCCAGCTCGCTCTGCAGGCCGTCCTGGTCTTTGCCGGCAGCGAATTGAAAACTCTTTTGCCCAGCGTCCACAGCTGCTCATGGGAGGTTGGGTTTGACGGAGGTGCTACTGAAGGTCTTGAATTGTGTGCCGGTGCAGAGAACTGCCAGAAATTGTTAAGGAAGGAGGGAACGCGTGTTAGAGAGATAGATAATACTTTATTAATCCCGTAGGGAAATTGATGTTGATGTGTTGATGCGCCCCTAGATGAGTCAAGCGACCCGTCATCCCTCTTGAATCTGTTCATCCTACGCACTCACACCCACTGATGTTCTCTGTCTTCCTTTATGCTTGTAAAGGGAGGGAGGGTGTTTGGGAGTTTCTTGTGGGGAGAACGGTCTGTACTTGGCTAAACTCCCACTGAGCGAGGGGGGTGCTGTCTGGACCCAGTTCCGGCTTGCTGATGGGTCCCACCACTACGCGCACCGGGGAGTGACCGCCTCTCTGCCTTCTCCTGCAGTTCCTGAGCGAAGGCTACGCCACGCACCTGGCCTCCCTGGACTTCGGCCCCCGCCCGCGCCCCAAGAAGAGCTCTGCCCGCATGGTCCTGCGCAAGGGCAGCTTCGGCCTCTCCGCGCAGCCCGACTTCCTGCGCAAGCGCACCCACCTGCGCCGCACCATGTCCGTGCAGCAGCCCGACCCCCCCTCCGCGCCCAACCCCAAGCCCGAGCGGGCGCAGAGCCAGCCTGAGTCAGACAAGGACCACGAGCGCCAGCCGGGCGGCGGGGTGTGGACGCGGGGGTCCGTGCACCGCGGCAACACCACGCCCTGAGGCGGAGAGGGGCGGCCGGGCACGACGGTAAGGTGGCACGTTCCTCTCCCAGCCCCAACACCCGTGCCAGCCCACTGGCCAGGCTCCAGCCTCAAGCCCCTCGTTCCTCTGCAGCCTGAATAATCCAGTTTCAGCAGACAATACAGTTTCCATAAAACAAACTGTGGCCAGGGGATTTTTTCTGTTCCGTCATCCTTTGCAGTCTCTACGCTTCTAGGAATGAATTAGACGGAGCAATTTTAAACACTGTTTTCCCAGAGTGTTTCAATCAAAGCTATTTTTATGTCAGTTGTAGGTGGAAACTGCTTCTAATTACCTCCCACAACTTTTTATGTCTGACAATTTCTGCAAGATACCTTGTCATTGAAAATTAGAGCAGAGCAGTTTTGTTAGGATTAATTTTGAATTGCTTCAATTAGCTGTCATAGCATGTACACTTTCTCTGTTTTATTGCCTTTACAGTATTAATTATTTTGAACCAAAACCCTGTTGGTGTTGAGACTTCAAACTGCTGTAGTCAAATTATGGCTGATTTCTCATTTAGCACAACATAATTTGAATTCCACACACTGTGTGTTTTTTATTTTCATCTGAGGTGGTAGAGCTGCCCTGTCTCTGTGCTGCGGTCAGCATTCAACAACACACACACACACCTGTCACTCAACCTTTTAAACTGTGAGATAACACTCAAAGGCAGGAGAGAATGCAAACCAAGATTCTTCCCACATTCTCTTTCCGTTCAGGGCACTGATTTCAGGAACTAGGAAACCACTGATACCACGAAACACATTTTCTCAGAATCTAATATTGAACATAGCAATGTCTTCGATTTGGATAAAACTTTAAGTGAGATAAAGCACGTTGCTCAGAACGAAGAAGATTTAAATTCTCTGTATTTTTCCAACCCTGAGAAGCAGTTATGCTAGCCAACACTCCATTCACTGCTTCACATGCTTGTGGGCCTCACCAAACAAACATATCAAATGGATCTCCTTTATATTTACAATACAATACCAGCAGCCATATCACCCTGCAACTCACAACTGGCAGCCCACTGGAGCTCAGCAGGTGTGAGCCTGGTCAGTACCTGGATGGGAGACCTCCTGGGAAGAATGAGATTGTTAGTGGGGCCAGCAGGGGGCGCTCACCCCACGGTCCATGTGGGTCCTAATGCCCTAGTATAGTGATAGGGACACTATACTGTAAAACAGGCGCTGTCCTTCGGATGAGACGTAAAACCGAGGTCCTGACTCTCTGTGGTCATTAAAAATCCCAGGGTGTTTCTCGAAAAGAGTAGGGGTCCACATTTCCCATTGGCCCTTATCAATCATGGCCTCCTAATAATCCCCATCTATGAATTGGCTACATTACTCTGCTCTCCTCCCCAAGCGCTTTGAGTGGACTGTCAAGAAAAGCGCTATATAAATGTAAGCAATTATAATAATAATAATAATTATTATTATTATTATATAAATACGCAGTTTGCACAGTAGTAACGCAAAATACATGCAGGCAATCGGTGCAGAAATTGTGCATGAAGAAAAATGAAGCAAGTCTCCTTTAGGTCAGTGCATTATTGTCAAGTATGGTTTCCTGGTTTCCTTTTGCTGCCGTCTGTCAGTTTAAAAGCTTGACGTGACTGTTCTAGGGTTGACATGGGGTCGTCCACAGTGATGTATGAAAGACCATATGACAGAGCGCTTCCAAGTAGAAAAGGCAGTCCTTTCACAAAAGGACACAGAGAAAATGTTCTTAGGCAGCGAAAGAAGTGGGAGAAGTATTTGACTGCAGTGTGCCATAAATATTCATGCTTGAATCCAAGATACCACAGCTGTTGTTAGCATTGAAGAAGGATAGGCCTTTTTTCTGAATCAGGCAGGATAAGCTTTAAGAGCTTTGAGATGATTGCTTTTAAAGGCTCTATATAAATTTATGAGCGTCACCGGGCTATAAGTGTATCAGATGTAATTTTGTAGTGGCAGGGCCATGATAGGACTGAAACAGTAAGCATTAAGATAGAATGTAACCCAAAGGCACAGACTCAATTAACATTTGAAAGGCAATGAAGGATTTTACAATTGTCATTTTGACTTTTTTTTTCTTCTTCACAGGCTTCCACATCTTAGCTGAACAGACGTCTGCCAAACGTTAAACCTGACCCAAGAGCTATCACCCACTGCTCCTGGCGGAAGAAACCAGGCTTTCTCCTGCTCTGGCTCAAAACTCCCTGGAAAGCAATCTGATTTCAAAAGCACTTTTAAAAAAAAAAGTAATATACAGCCAGCCTAATAAATCACAGTGTTTAATAAACCCCCCCAAAAAAGAGAACGTTACAGAGCCCAAAATTAACAAACCAGTACTTGTATGTATTTGTTTAGGAGTTGTCAAAACAGATGATACTCCCGATACAGTTAATCTAACTGAGAAATCCTGGGAAATATAAATCTTTCAGGAAAAAAAGACAATCTTTGGCCTAAAAATAAATCCAACCCAGGAGAAAACAAGTCTGGGAACAGCCAAAAGGAAAACTTATTTATGGGTGAAATGTTCCTGTAGGGCAACAGTCTACTGTTCCATTTGTAAATGTGAGACTCTTGTCTTTACTGCAGTGTACTCTATACTGTACTCTTCCTGCCCCAGGCTTCTGTCACTGTGCACTAGCAGTATAAAAGGATTAAATGTTACTATATATATTATATACATCATGTATGTGTGTGAACTCTCAAACAGATTAAGGGCATTTGTGGGGAGGGCTCTTTTATATCTTATGTGAAAGGATATCTATCTAAAAGGGCTTTGAAGCAGCAGCTCGTAAGACGTTCCAGAAAGAACAGACGCCAAACGTTGGCGCACTTACAGAAAAATAGAAATCTTGTAGGAGAAGGTTTTTCCGGGCTTTTAAAATTTGTCTTTTAAACCTAACGGCAAGCCCAAGCAATACTCTACTGACAGCGGCTGGAGAAGGGCAGGGATTAATGCTGGGGTGCTAGGTGAGTCTGGGCTGGGGGGTAGACGGGGCGATGAGAGGCCGGGACGTCCCGCCAACAGAGCGAGTGCCTGTCGACGGCGGCACAGAGGCGCCGAAGAGCTGTGGGCGCGATGCTCAGTGCGGGACAGTACCACCAGTCAAGGACAGCTAAGGACTATGCACCCAGAGAGAGCCGTCCGGTGGGAATGTCGCAGTCACCCACAACGCACTGCGTGGCGGAACGCCTTCCGAAAAGGGGACTGCACACGCCCTGTTCAGGTCAAACTTATTTTTCTAACACGGTAATCCTGTACATATTTGAAATAGACCTATAAGGTGTTTTTCCGGTAGTGTTGTTTATCAAGAATTTGTCGTCAAATTATTTATTTTTTTGCCTTTTACTGGTGTTAATGTCTGGGACGAGGGAGAACGTTGCATTTATTATCCCTATTGCTTGACCAAAGTATTTTTGTTTCAAGTCAATGAAAAAGTGCAAAGTGTTTTCTAACTGTTTTTTGTATCTATGATATATATATATACAGGCTATATAGAAATATATTCACACAGACATATATATGCATATATATTTATGTAAAACGTGTGTAATGCTGCTTTGTTTGGGGGAGGAAAAAAGCAGGCATTCTCTAGGTGTGTGGTACAGCGATCCACAAGGCAGCCTCTCAATACGGATTGACTTATTTTTAGACATATAATGTGCAAATGCTGTGTCAGAGATTTTATATTGTTAAGTTTAATTCAGACATTATGGGCAAACGTAAAATTTTCAGACTGCATATGCCGTAGAGGTAATTTAATAACGAGGCGGGTCTAGTCAAGGATAATTAACCTCTTAAATCGATGGCACAATATAAGTATATTGTTATCTTATCAAACAGCAAAGAAGGGTTTTAATCAAGCTGCGCTGCTCCTATAAGAGATTCGTCGGGTCCTTAGACCGTTGTGCACAAGAAGGCCTTTGTAAAAAAAGTGGTGTCTCGAAGCAGGCTTGTCGAAGTCACCCTTGTTCGAGACTGTCCAGAGTGTTGCATGTCCAAGCCTATCGGTGGTGGACTTTCTCAGTTTTACTTTGCAATTGTAAAATAAAACGGGGAACACCAACGGGTTTGAAGTTACAATGCGCTTCAGTGGCAGAGAGTGTTTCAGTGTTGCCTTGCTGTCGCAGTTCAGTGGTGTGTTTGTTGACCACTTGTGACTTTTTCTGTTGCTACACAGGTTAAAAAACGGGCACCCGTCTCGCACAAGTCGAACCCGGGCGTTTGTACGGTATATGATTATTCCTGCTTGCCTGTTTTTTTTATGTTGGTTGCCTTGAGTGTGTCTGGGCGTGTGATTTATCTGATTGCTACGCCCTTGGGGCATATCCACAGCTAAAGTTTTACATATAATGCTTGCTTTTACCTGACAGAGAAACAGACAAGGAGAAAATGGGCTCTGAACTTATGGCTAAAATTTGCTTACGTTACAAAACAGGGTACCAAGCAAAATCGCTCTTTAAGCAGGATAATCGCTCTTTGACACTTTCTTTCCTGTGCAATTTTTTTTAACTCTTTGTTCCTGCTAATCCCTAGTTATCAACATGATCTATAGCACTTGGTCAAATTAAGCAATTAAGGGTCAGTTCAGAACAGCAATTAATTTATTGGACTGTTCAAAGTTCTCTCAAATGCCCTGGAATGAAAGTGTTCAAATGGACTACTTCTGCTCTAAGTCTAGGCACAGCATTGCACCTTATCTTTCAACTGGAGGGAAAAAACATCTTTTTAGTAATGTGGAATTAAGCATATTTATTTTAAAATGCTTTAAAATGGCCTATTGCTCTGACTGCTGTTATTTGTTGACATGTAAAATGCTAGGAGCGTGGCCAATCATTTTCTGTCTAAAGCCAATGTCACTCCTGAAATCAAAGGATATCCCTTTCACTTGTAAAAATATACTAGTGCCCCCACTAGTATATTTTGAGCAACAGGGAAATGAAGTCTTATTGGGGGCACTAGTATATTTTTATAAGTGAAAGGGATGAAAATTCAGCTAGAAGGACTATAGGCCAGGCATGCCCCCCAACCAACAGGTTTTCTGTGATCCTCAACAGCGTGAGATTTGTGCTAGAAAAGGTTGAACCCAAGGCTGAATTAGACTTGGCTGCCGACTCTCCTGCACAGAGACTGAAGCTGCTTGGGAAATAGGGACTTGTAAAAAAGAAACCCAATGTGAAACAAAACTCTTGATAGGTTGCCCATCTCATGGTCTGGAAATTCCTCCTCACAGGGCACTGTATACAATTCTAACCAGCTGCCATCTCTGAGACTCTGCGTGACTGTGCCCTTGTAACCAAAGTGCTACCAAACACCCCAGAGAGCATTCTGGGACCAATGTATTTTAGCCAGGTGTGTGTGTGTGTGTGTGTGTGTGTGTGTGTGTGTGTGTGATGTGAGAAGGTTGGAATTCAATTCTACTGTAAAGCCTGCAGTTGCTTGTATTGTTTTTTTTCCTGTGTGGGTAAAAAAAAAACACTTTAAAAATGTTCTGTACAGATTTGTATTTGTAGATCTGGAACATGGTTTGTATACTATGGTGCAGATTTTAATTGTGAAAGTTGGGTTTTTAATATCTTCCGGATATTACTTAAATAAAAAACACACATGCTGGAATTGTCAGCTTGGTTTCTGTTGGATTTGATCTGCGCAGCTACCTGGTTTAGACAAAGGTTAGTGGTTTCCTTTTAAGAGCTAACTTACTGTAACCTGTGTGGGTCACCCTGTTCAACCATGTGATAAAATAGTCAGTCCAAGCTGAAAATTCTGATGACCTTGCTCGCTCGCCTTATTAACTCCTGTATCTTTAAAAATGGGAGTTTGAAAACAAGATTTTTAATGCTTTTTTTGGCCAGATAGGCTGCAGAACTGGAAAAAAAAGGCTTTTAAAATAATTGAACAATTTCCTCCTGCTGTCTATTTTCCTTAAGTGGATAAAAGGAGGGTAAGAGTCTTCAGCACACTGCAGGCTCCACAGAAACAGGGACGTTGACCATTGTTCTAAAAGCAGAACATTTTTATTTCTCTTCATACAAAATGTAACATTTTTCTTTTCCCTTTTGTCCTTCGCAAGGAACGGGTACAAGCAGAGTTCAACGAGGCTCCGCTCACAAATATGCAAGTTAGTGCCGTGAAGGGTTGAAAAGATGGCTCATTTGTTTCTTTTACATTTCAGCTGACAAGCAAAGTCTGCATTAGAAGCAATGATCGGGACAGGAATGTTTTTTTGGGATGTATGAAATAACTTTTGAAAAATATTTTCCGAAACATTCCTTGAACTTATTTCCTGCAGGAAATACAGACGGAGGAAAATGAACATTTTGCCCATTATTACTCTCACAGTGTTCCTTCGGCTTTACTCCGTCAGTCCTCCATTGCTTGTCAGCTGAAGTGCTTCAACAGTTCCCGCAGTGGTATGTCAGCCAGGCTTGCCCATCAACCCCAACTATAATACTGGAAGCTTCATGTAAACACCAACGTACTGTAGCTCTCTTTCTGGCACTGAGCGGGGTGTTGAGGAGAGGACGCTGGGTTTTGGCTTTCATGGTGAGCAAGGTAGGACACAGGCTGGGGGAAAATACTGAGATTTCCTTTCCAAGAGCATTCATGAAACCTGAATGCAACTGGCAAGGTTTTGTCAATTGGAGCTAGTTTAAACATGATGAATGGGTAACCTTTTCTGGAGCCCACCCTACGGCATTTTAAATTGCATGTGGCTTGAAAAACAAAAAGACTACATGAATTTACAAGATACACGTATCAAAATGCTAGAAGTAGGAACTCATGCAAATATTTTCCTTCATTTAGACAGTGTTAAATACACATACACACACAAGCCAATAAAAAATGTTAAGAGTTGTAAACATTAAATAGTGATCCAAGTACAGAGGATCAGGTAATAAGCGTCTTTGATGTAGAATCCCTGTGAAACCGGCAGTGCATGTAGCGATCGCACGCTGCTTTTAGTGTTGGTAAATAAAATATTAGGCTTACACTGAGCACTACAAAATCAGTCAAGTGGAAGCTGCCGAGAGGGACTACATCCACGCAAGGGGGCACTGAGACTGAACCCGCAGGAGGGCGAGATTATCACTCAAAACAGGCGACAGGGCGGCAGGGAGCGATGTGCACTCCTAATCCTAATCCGAGCTCTTTCAAAGCGGCAGCGAACCTTGTCCGGAAGGGAATTCTTGAGCACGAGTCCTCTGGGTGCAGCAGTGCAGTGGGCCGGGCTTCATAAGATGAGTCGTGAAAGATTTCACCCGTTAAGTAAATATACTCTTAAGTCGACCTGAATTCAAGAATTGACCCTCCCCACCATCGAGGTTTTTCTTTTACCATCACATACTGTTTATTGTCATTCCCCTCCCCACCATCTGAAAAACATTGTCCAATTGGTTCAAAATAACAGTTTTGTGGATTATTACCGGATGGTCATTATAAAGACAGAACTGCCTCATTTAAACTGGGATCGCTTTTTTTTTTATAGCAGATGAGATGCAGAAAATCAAGTCATAGAGTTGAGAAAGCTCTGACTGAGTGTGAACACAAGCTGCCCATTCCAGCTCGCACTAACTCAGCCTGCTGCCCTGCCAGTTCTGTCTATTTCACCATTTTAATTCCTGCACATTCACCGTTTGATCCTGCTACTGATCAGTTCAGCAATGGAATAGCTTACTGTACAAGATTTCTGCATTGAAGCGGACTGGGAGTAAAACGGGCCTGACCCAGGTGTCAGTTTGCACATTTTCAGCCCTTGTCATAACCATCTCCCTCCGTTCCACACGTCTTGCTACCGGATGGATGCTCATGAACTTCTCCAGAGCACAGCCCTCGCCTTTGAGCTGCAACTGCACGAAGACACCATGGTACGTCTTTGGATCTAGTTTTGTAAGTGAAGTGTTGCTTTAATTTTGATACTTCTGCAGGGTAACAGTCATGGTAATGTCTGATGATGTAATAGGTTGCATAAGGCTGGACATACAAATATGTATAGTGCACAGGACAAAACGAGCATAGGAAACTGAATGAAGCAAGAGTGGTTTTGACTATGTACACGGACCTCAAGGGAAATTGAGGCAGAAGAGGGAGAGCAGACTGGGGTCAAGTCTATCATGGGAAGGGGTCAACCTCAGCTCTTCTGGTGCACGACATCAGTCAAGCTTGATTGATCCTTAATTAGTAAATTGACCTGCCATTGAAGAGCACATATTACATCATAGAGGATGGACTCAATCAGCAATATCAGGACTCCTCCCCCCACACTGACCATTCCCCTCTCACTCAGTTCCCTTTCCGAATGCTGGACAAGGCCACGTCAGTCCAGCTGTTGACCGTCTCCCGAATTCGTGCGGTTTTGCGGCGGATGGTTGCTCGTGAAGTCTTGCGGGTTGAGCTGTAGCTCTGCACCATGACACTGCAGTAGTTTTCGATGGCTTGAGTCCTGCGAAAGAGAAGAGTGTTCCTTAGGCAGGGAGTCCGACTGCTACTGCTGTTCGCCCACACACCTGCGGCTTTTTGTCCTGAACTCCATTGAACCACTAAGACCGTATCGGACTTCATCATAGGTCTCAACAGTTCTTTCAGTTGACGTCTTCAACACCCAGAGGGGTAGTTTTGTAACTATTGCATTTATATAGCTTAGAATCTCCAACCTTTGAGTAGAAAAAAAAAATTCTCCAAGTTCCAAACCTAGTAACTTGGTCCAGTTAAGGATTATTTTAAGTAAAGAGTTAATGTGCAATAAAACCCAGCAGGTATGTGGGTCCCAGAAACAATGTTTGGGAACCCCTGCCTAAACGGTCTCCCATTTCCAGGATTGGCCCTGGTTCTGCTCAAACCAAGCTCTCAGTAACTGAATTGACCAGTATTCTTAGCATACAATATTCTGCACATTAACCAAGGCCAGAAAACACCTGAGAGTTTGTTAGAAACTTCAAGCCACACAGGACCTCAAGGACATGGGCTTGACTCCTGTTTTGCAAGTCAAACAGAGCACAGGGACTGAGACAAGAAGACTGGGTGAAAGCAGGACCGACAGCCACGGTTTTGTTTCTGGTCCTATGATGCTTCAAGGGTATTGTGGTCTGTTTAACCACTGGTGAGCCTTAATCCAGTTATTCTTAAAATATGTCACCCAAATATCACCTGTTATTTAAGAATGAGGTGTCCAACGGGTTTAAGAAATTGATTGATTAATGAATCAATTGATTGGTTTTCAATGATGAGATTGCCGCTCCTCGAGAGAGCTGAAAGATATTCCGATTCTCGTTTCAAATGATCTCTAAATTACTTCATTGAACACCAGTTAAACAGCTGATCATAGCTCAACTGTTCCAGGCCTTTAGAAATCGATTGAAAGGTGACCTTTAAAAACCTGTTGGACTGGGGCTCTCCAGGAGCAGGCTGGCCTAGACCACGCCACCGTCATGATCTGGTGTCCAACACACATGCAGTTAGTCCTGTGCGCAGTGTCCACTGACTGCAACTTCTGCTCATCGTTTAGCAGCCTCTCATTGCAGGCAAAAGGTTAACCTCGTTACACAGCCAAAAGCCACTTAAGCAAAAAAAAAAGGTTAAATTGAGGTAAGTTATCAATGACCTTCAAAAATGTCTTTCGTTCGGAAAAACCATTCACACATTCTGTGCCTCTGGTTACAGGAACTACTGTAGCTTTACGTGCAAATGGGAATCATACACATAATGGCAGGAAGAAATTCAGGATACTTTTAAGTGTTTAAGGAGTTTGTTATTTGTGACCTTATGTTGAAAAAGGGCATGTCAACAGCCTTGTACAACAAAGCTGCAAATGGGTTAGGGATGCACTGAAGCAAACAGATTTAAAAAACAGCCGGATGGCATTACCTTCCTTATTACTCCGTAATAAGAGAGAGAGTCAGCTCACTGATGGCAAAAAGAAACACCATTAGAATATCTGTCAAACACCTTCTACATTACCTCCGGGCACTCAAGGATGTCCAGTATGGACCTGTCCCAGGGGTCAATTGTGTTTCAGTGCAGTTCATAAAATAGTTAACGAGCCTCACCTGCTTTTAACCAATGTCAATCTGCCTGGGACAAATATTGCCTCTTTAAAATCTTGTTCATGGCTACACAGTTTCCAGACTACATGAGGGAATTGCTCGGATATTTCTAAATCCCACTTGTTTGTGTAACTCTTCCTAAACCCTACGTTTTCCAGTCTCAAAGTTTTCCGTGCTTTGGGATGATCCAAGGAAAGTTGTTTTGGGGAAATAAGAGATTAGGACTACTGGAGACAGAAAAGGCAACCCCAAGGCCTGTGTGTTTTGAGTCTGAGCTGCCGTGTCCACTGCAGTGTTCACGCCGAGTGGGAATTCAGGGAGGCACTGCATCTGCACAGCAGGGCCTCAGGGTAGGGAAAGGAGTCCAGGGCATGCCAACGACAGCACAGCCCTTATAAACTTATGCCCTTTTATTTTCAATAGGGCTGGCCCAAGCATTATGGCATTGCTGTCCTGTTGAGTGTCAGATCACCAGAAATTGTCATCCACTACTTTTTTTTTTTTAAAACTCTTGGACTGAGGTTAAATGTTTTAAAACTGTTCCTTTTGACGGTTGAGATGACAGTTGTTTTTTTTTTTAAAAGCAGGCTCTTTCCAAGAAAAGCGTGCAATACAAACAGGAAATTCCACACTTCCATAGGCATTATTCCAGCTCAGGGGGCGGACAGATGCCAGGGCGGAGGAGGAGAGAGCAGACAGGAAGACCGACTTCCTGCTACAGTACGGCCAAGTGTGACGTCTGAATAGAGAACGCTCACAGCACGGCCCCTGTTGGCAAAGGACCAGAAGAGAAAGACTAAAGCAGGCTTGTTCCATTTCTCATGGCAGTGCCCATGGAGAAAATGTCAAGGCCAAGTTAAGCAAGGATACTTGACCTCAAGCCCTTCTAACCCACTCGACTGGAAAAGATCTGCAAGAGCCAATTCACTTAATTAATTATGCAAATTGATCAATACAGCAATTAAGGTGCCAGCCGTACTAGCTGTTTGGAAGGGCTGCCAGATTGTGTCTCCCTGGGCTTAAGGAACTAAAGCGTTCATTCCACAGGCCGCCTTCTCTAGACTAACGTTCTCTGCTTGATGAGCTTGGCAGTCAGCCCATCTCTTATGTGCCCTTCTTTAACAAGCAGGAAATCCCTTTCCGAGAGAGAGCGTACCTGGGACAGAGCCTGGCACCATGCAGGGCAGGAGGATTGACTTTCGGAAGAGTCCATACTCACCTCTCGTCCTTCCCGATCATGTCGTCGAAGGCCTGGGAGAGGCGCTTGAGTCTCCGGAGGCCGGTGGACACCGACTCCAGGTCCTGATCAAACTGCCTGTGAGCAGCAGCAGAGGTAGGCGCGTTAGCTAGCTGGCTGGCTGCTCTCAGTCGGATGCAAGGCCTGCCTCTCTATCTGCTTAGAACAGCACGAGCCCAGTGGCTCCGAGATGCACACAGATTTATAATACCCAAATCCACAGTGTTGGAGAAAGTTAAAAAGAAATGCATTAAGGTTACAAGCTTATGTCAAGGTTTACTCTGAAGGGGTGATGTGTTCATTTACATAATACATACTCTACCTCTTTAATCTTAGGTAGATCCCTGTCACTGGTTAAATGTTAAGCATCAGGTTGCCACAATGCTGAAAAGCTGTTTACTGCAATGTGATGAATCAGTACTGTTGTGCTGGCCACAGAGGAATACAGGACATTTTATCAAAAGTACATAACATCTATGCTTTAGTCAGCCAACTCTTTCTTGCAGCACAATGCAAGAATAAGCAAAGGGCGACTTGGCTCCAGTATCAATGATTTCAACTCCTACAAGTGACACTCGATGTGCACAGACACCATCTCAGAAGTGTGTCGTTGCCCTGGGGGAGGAGGGCGCCCCGTGACCTCACCGCCTGCAGCCCTGCGTCTTCGGGGAGGCGAACGGGCTCCGCAGCGCCGCCATCCGGATCAGCTTCCGCCTGGAGCCCCCTGCCCTTCCCGCCGCCCTCGAAGACCCGCCGGGCTCAGGCGTGCGGGCGGCCCGGGGCGTCTTCTTGGCCCCCGACCTGGGGGTTCGCCTGCTGGCGCTCTTGGGGGTGACGGCGGCGGCGCGGGGCCCGGTTTTCCGGGGCGTGCGGACGGCCAGGCCCTCGCAGGCGGCGCTCTTGCCCGGAGTCGCCACCAGGCACTCCTCCCGCGGCAACCGCGACCTCTGGATCTTCTGTCGGAGCAGGAGGAGCGAAGGAGGAGGAGGGGTGAGTAGAGGGACCTCCCGCCTGGCAGCACGTGCTCTCGAGTGCTCCTCAAGTCTCACAGCAGCACCAGGAGTTTCCATATTCTGTCTTGAAGTGATCTGACACTAGCACATCACTTTGATAGGGTGACACACTTAAGGGCCGCTGAGGGCTTTTGGGTCTTTGGAAAAGAGGAGGTAAGACGTGTTGTGCATTACACACTAACCGGAGAGTTGGAACTTTTTTCCCCCAGGGGAGGAGCATTCATTACAAAGATTCCTCCTTTGATTATTCACAAAACAGCCTCCAGGTATTAGTGGGACAGTTATCTGTATTATCTACACTAGAGCTGGCCCTAGGGTGCGACTTTCACGGTATGACCACTGCGCATGCCCCACGCCGAACACGTGACGCAAACGTCAGCGTGAGAGGCAAAATCGTTACCTGGTACACGCCCCCGATGGAGTTCCGCGCGCTGCGGGTGAGGCCGCGCACTGCGCCGGGCTTGTGGCCGCCCGGCTGGCAGTCCCGGCCGGGGGTCTCGGCCGTGTTGGGCGGCACGGCCCGCAGGGGCAGCCGCTTGCGGAGGGACATGCGGAGCGAGTTGAGCGAGCTGGAGGAAGGCCGCTTTCGGAAACGGTCCGGGACGGGAGACGGGCTGTCCGCGTCGTCGGACTCCTCCAGGACCCGGTGTGTGCGCCAACCCGCCGCCGCCCCCATCCCGTGAAGCACCGTCGACGCCATTTCGTCTCGCCCAATCAATTCAAGTAAGGCCAATCCTGTATGAACAACAACAAAAAAAACGTATTTAAAGTTCCCTTCCGGTATCCACCGTTTTTACAAGCAGGAAACGTTTAGACGAGTAAATGACGATGGAAAAAGGGTTCATTTTTAGAATTTAAAGTAGTGTACGACACGTTGGCATTGTTTACATCTGGTTTTCCGGGCTCAATAACGTGTTTTTTTAATAAATTGAATAATAAGGTATTCTTGGGCATAAACCTTGAGCTTCGGGTGACAAACAGGTCAATAGACAGTTTTTTTTTTGTTTTATTTTAAACGCTCTTTTTCGATAACGATATCCAGATCTCCCGAGGCCGGGCGTTGTTGTCTTGGAACCTCGCGACCCGCCCCGGTTGCCAGGGTCAGGCCACGCGGGGAGTGCTGGCACGCGTGAAAACCTGCAGTGCAGCTATTACCCGTAGAAGTTTCATATAGCAAAAACCCGTTTAAAAAAAAAAGTGACCCGTTTTAAGGTAACAAATCGTGCCAGATAAGACGTTAGTGTTGTCTTTTTCTTAGATGGGCAGAAAGTCATATCCTTTTCTGAAACTGCTGCATTGAGATGAGCTCACTAGACAACATGACAGTACCAAATAGTTAATTATCTTTGGAGATTCGTGATACAGTACAGTTGAACATTGCAGATTGAAAAATACGCAAATGTTTCCAAACTTCGGCTGTTCCTCTAGTTCGTATTGTCTTTTAAATGGTGCAGAAGACAACAGGACTGAATGATGAATAAGTACTCAATTAGTCACCGACTGATTACAATCCTTACTCATTAAGGGCTGAAGAGTCAGGTTTCAATATAAAAACAAGCTAGTGAAATTGCTTTTATAAGGAGTATCGTGGATCTTGAGTTGCATTTAAATTGCAGGAGCAGTTGGGGGTCAGTTCGGGACTTCGTCAGTCTGGAATACGGTTACCTGCTTAAGAGTTCACAATTTAATAAAATGTCCGGGAAAAAAAAATATCCGAGTCCCCGAGTCCCTCGGGTCCGATTAGATCGAGTTTCAGTGGTTAGATAGTTAACGCGCTGTGGAAATGCAATCTATGCATCAGTCACGCAGTATTGCCGTCTTATGCTAAAACAATTGAACAATTAAAAGCGCTGCTTCGAATTTTTCTACTTGAAGGTATTCAGATATAAACTGGGGGAGTTGATGTTTTGGTCTGTCTACCACTGTGGCCCTGCTGTTGTTTAGTGGCAGCGTTCTTTATTTCCCTAAAATAGGTCTGTTTCTGCTTCATCAAGGCACAGTTCTCGTCTGGCTGTTATTCATAGGGAGTTGCGAATATATTCCATTGTAAATAAGGAATAAAACCGAATCGTTTTTTCTTGAAGAATTCACGAAACATTTCCTTATCGAACCGACTGCTTATCAGCAAAACAAAACGGAATGCCTTACTTTATCTGGAAAAAGATCACTCCGAGCTCGCCTCCCGACGTGATGAAGAATCCCACTTTCTCCTTTCTCTGTTTGAATTTGGCGGAACTCCCCCAGCCCCGCCTGGCGCCTAAATTCTGATTGGCTCTTAAATTCCCGGTGGTTTGATTGGCTGGCGATGGCGTCATCGTTTGGAAATCATCGGCCGGGATTTATTTGTGTTAAAGGGACAGGGGCCGCGGGTGAGCTGCCGTCACGTGTCCCCCACTACTGCGCTTGTTAAGTGTTTTTGGCAAGAACACCAGGATAGCAGTAATTAACTTTATAGCTTTTGCTTTAAGGACAGGATAATGATTGTCTTGCTGCAATAGAGAGAAATTTAATCGTTTTCTTGACACAACTGGCATTAAAAAAGCAAAGATCTCTTTTAACATTGCCACTGTATGTTTCTTGTTGGAAAGAATTTAGCAGATTAAAAAACAAAACAAATTCTTGGTACCTTGTGAAAATTCCTGAAATTCCTTTGGTGCTTCAGCTGGTTCTCCGGCCTTGCTGTTGGCTGTATTTTGTTCATAATGAACTCATTCTTTATTACTGCCATCTCATTACACCTTGTTTTTTTTTTGTTGTTGAGTCTTTCCCTTGCTCATGTTTAGAGAAAACCATAGAGGCCAACTTGGGAACAGAGACAAGGCACCTGACCTTGGACACAGTCAATTGTCACAGGCAGAACATCAATATTTAACTCAGATTTAATGGTTTTATTCCTCGGATGATGGAATATTACTGTACCAGCAATGACCTTGTGCCTTACCCAAGTCACTCAATGTCTAACCTGCATAATAATTATGTTTCAAGACAACTGTGCCCTGTGCTCACTGGGCTGTTTTTTTGTGAGAGCTGCCTTGACCTTCATATTTTTTGTCCCTGAAAAGTTGCAATTTTCTAATTACTTATGAGTATTTATAGGTAACAGTTGCAGAGTTGGAAATGATTACAAAGTAACACACAATAATTAACAGAATCTTTTTTATAATTAGAGAATTATTTAAATCCTTTGCCTCTTAATGCACTGTAACAGGATTATTGTAGCTACATATTGTAGTAAATGTCAGAATTTAATTAATTAAGGAGAACCATTTTCCACAGTTTCGTAGAGCTAGTCCTTTCAGGAAGAAGTCTGCCCATGTCCCATGTATGTACATATTGGGAGTCTAGAGTTGAAACACAAATAAATCACTTTTTCTATTAAGTGTGCTATAAGACTTGAATTTCTCCCTTTGATATTGTATGGCACTATCATTGAGGATAATTCTTGGATCCAAAATGATATAAATGTAGGTAAAAATGTGAAGGTCAAATTCTGATTAAAGAGCAGGAGTACATTTTGGACAGCAGTGGAAGATGTCTGCTTAAGTTATTTAATGCTTTAGTTTAGGGTGTGTATATAATAGCAAATTCCACTCAATATCGGTATAAAGAATTGGAGCGAATCCATTACATTCAGGATATTACAACACAGCAGTTAAAAAAAGTTCAAAGAGGGTCTTTGATAAATATATTTCAAAGCAATGAGTTGGCAGGTCTTCTCATTTGCAGCACTGGAAAAAAAGAACAAAAACTTTTCAGGGAAAAGCACAGTGCAGTATGTTTCAAACACCCACTGGAAATATAATTTCTAATAAATCAGAAAGACTTCCTGCATCATTTCCTGCCCCCTGCGTTTCTGAAGGATAGTACAAAAAAATCAGGGTAATACATGTCACATGGTAAGACATACAGGCACAACAGCAACACAACTCCAGCAATGATAGTGTGTGGAGTGAGAAGTCTGGCCAGCTCCTAGTCCAGTGTTGTGTTCTAGAGGACTTTGTGGGAATGCACACTAATCTACAGTCCACATGGTTCATTGTAGGTTATTAATAAGGTGGACTAGGATGCAGTGCAGGTTTAATGTCTTTCTTTAACACTGATGATTTAAATTTTTTTTTTAAACTTATTGTACCCTTTAAATCCATAGGAGGTTTTGGCTCAGAGAAGGCAAAGCTACCGCTTTCTAGCCTGCTCTCTTCAGGTTGCAGAAGCTAGGCAATGCTGGGCCTGGTCAGTATTGCGATGGTGGACCTCAAAAGAAAACCAGTTTGCTGCTGTTAGTGGTTTTGGTGGACCAGTAGGGGGCTCTCTTCTCTCTGGACCAGAATTAGGTACCAATGCCCCAGCACGGTAACAGTTTACACTGGTGTAGGGGGTGCCATCCTTTCGATGAGACACTAATCTGTAGTCCTGACTTCTGAGCCATTAGGCGTAGAGGTGCTACTCTGGTGTCCTGGCTAAAATCCACTCTGGGCTTGTACAGTCAGCCCATCCTCTAAGTCTCCCCTTAATTTATGAGGTGCAGTTGCACACTCTTTCCCTTGATCGGCTGTGCAGTGGGGCTGCTGGTGCAGAATGGCTGCCACATGTCACCCAGGTGGGGCTGCACCTCAGGATGTCTGGATGAAGTGACTCCCTCCTGCATGTGAATGGCGATGGAATGAAAGTGCTGTATTAATGCAAGCGACCGTTTTTATTGAGTTTAGGCCCTGCGCTGAGGAGCCCCTGGAGAGAGGGCAGCATGATCGTGCTGGCTCACCGCGGCAATTCTCTTCCTCCTGGAAAACGTGGCCAGGAACACTGTGCACAGCACCACCACCACCCCAGCAATGACGGGCTCAAAGGGGAAATGTGTCTTCTTATCTGCATGGGAGAACAGGACGACATTAACCCAGGTGAGGCTTGGATGGAGGAGGGCATTCAGGTCCTGTGTACAGGGTCTTTGGTGTCTCCTTCCAGTAGAGCTGGGCGATAATTCGATAACGATAATTATCGCGATATAATTTTCCTCGATATAATTTTAACAAAAGTTTGATAAATGTTCGATATATATGTTTATGCTTTGCGCATGCACACAAAATACTGTGCGCATGCGCATGTGCGCGGGTGCGCGTGCATGTTGCAGACCGGGCAGGTAACAGATTTGTTTAATGTTTCTGCTGTTTGGCAAGTGTTTGTTGTGTTCTTAAAATAAAGAGTTGTTTAATTTACCAATTGACTGTCTGGTTTCTTCAACTTTCACTCAGGAGAAAAAATCTGCTTTTAAACTTGAAAGAAATAATGATTTGACATTTATCGTGATAATTATCGATATCGACTGATATGAAAATGTTTATCGTGATAATGTTTTTGGCCATATTGCCCAGCCCTACCTTCCAGAATAAATTTATAGATGAGCTGTACATGACCAAGTTCACTGTGAAATGGAAACTGACTGTTTCCTTTCCTGTGAGGGTGTGAGGATCTTATTGTCATGGTGGACAGTGCCTTTTGGAAATGAATACCACACTGTCATGAGAAGACTTTGTTTGATTTCAGGTGCTGCTTAAAAACAAGCAGTCGGATTCACACAATGTTACATGTTAATCTGTCTGCCCATTTTCTAACCACTTCTTCCAGTTCAAGGGGAGCCTATCCTGGCAAGCTACTCAAGGCAGGATACACCCTGGACAGGACACCAGCCCATCACAGAGCACACAAAGACACAGAGGCATTCACACTAAGGCCAGTTTTCTCAAAAGCCAATTAACGTACTGTATGTGGCTAAGACATACAGTGCTATACTAGTGTAGTATACAGTACTACTATGCTAGTAGTATACTGTACTAATACAGTACTGGGAAGAAGCCAGAGCACCGGGAGGAAACCCAGTGCTCAGCTCAAATCCTGATATAGGCACCCTAATTTTTGCCCAAGTTTCCCAAGTCTGGTGGGACTAAGGAGTGTGCTCAAGAGGAATGAAAATGAGGTTCCTTTGGCGTCTCGGAGTATGCGTCTCTCTTTCCTGCTCTCTTTTCTAAGCATGACTTGATCCCTGAATCCTCAAAGTTTGACCCTATGGAATCGTAAAATATATACTGTTTGAATTGAATACCTGTAGTGTAAGTTATGATATCGGCAAGATTGGCTTAAAATAGAATCAAGTAGGGAAAAAAAGCTGACCTTCCACTGTGAGGCTGAAGGTTTTTGTGCTGTTTCCATGCTGGGGAGAGAGTGCTTCGCATCTGTAGGTGCCCTGGTGGGAGTACTGCACCTTGGCAATGGACAGTGTGGCCTCCTTCCCATCCTGATACAGAGAGTAGCCGTCTTCTTCCAGATTGAGAGTGGCATCATTTTTCAACCAGGTCACAGACACCTGGGGGTTGGCGTAGATGTTACAGGTCAGCGCAACCGCGCTGCCTACCTCTGCTGTCCGAGTCTCTGTGCCGGACAAGTCTGGCGGGACTAAGGAGTAAAACATAGATGAAGGATGTGAAATCACAGTGTCCACCTAGAATTCCACATACATTCTCTTAAAATACCGATTGCATTATAATCCAAGATTTACTGTTTACACTTTTCACTTAAGAAATTACAAAGCAAAAATTTGAGAGACTCAAGTTGAAATATAAAGCAAATAAATTCCTGATCTTTTTCAAAGTGCGGTTTTCAACAAATAATGTGTGTGTCAGTGCCCTTTTTCATGTATATTTAATATCTGGGCTCACCAGGGCATCTCTGAAGGTTCATGTTCACTTCAGTTTAGAAGTTGACAAGACATTAATAAGCCGAAGTGAGTAGAATTGAATTAACCTGCCCCAGATGGGCTGTTGGCCCGTAATGGAAGGTCAGGCCCAGAGTTTTATACTGCCGCTGTTAATGTGAAACAGAGCCGTTGCCCTGCCCAGCGGCACAGCTTTCTGACCCCTGGGGTCGAGACAAACACGCCGGGTGAAAGGGGAGCCAGGCTAAGCACTCACAGCGCACGTCCAGCTGGACAGAGGCGTTGACGCTGCCGTCCCGTCGGAGCTGGCAACTGAAGGTGACACGGTGGTCGGCCTCGGACACCGACTGGACGCACAGGCTGCTGCTGTTGAACTTGTTCTGCTCCTCGAGCCGGACCAGTGCCTTGTCCCGGTACCACTCCAGCTCCTCCGCCCGCTCGTGGTCCCGCGCCTCGCAGACCAGCGACACCGTCTGCGCCTTCTGCAGCGTGAGGACGCCGCCGCCCTCCTCCACGTTCAGGGTCACCCAGACGCCTGGGAGCGAGAGAGCCTCGCACACTCAGCCACAGTGCTTTCAAGTCCCCAGGCCCTTCTCTCTGAGCACCTCTCTCTTAGGAGACACTGGGTGCTCCACTTAGTTCGGATACACTTAAATGCTCCGGTTAATTAGAAGACACTCAAGGGCTCTAATTTTCTTTGTCAGAAATGATTTGCCACGCGAAGCAAGTGGCCTAGGTTGCTGTGGCTCCGCTCGATGAGGGTTGACCACCTGGAGCTCTTTATGGTCATTAAAGTGCCACTTTATAAAGGGGCTCTTTTGGGGGTTGCTGCAGTGGCATGGTGTTTCTGTTTTCGCTTATAAGCGGGTGCAGGTTGAGCTCTATGACCCAGGTGACATAGACTCGAGCCTGCCACCACCCAGCTGTGACTGGGATTCCCCAAGCGACAGAGGGGGGTTAGTCTGCCAGGGCTCTCCAGGTGCTCTGGGTTCTCAGCTGTGGTTAAATGGTTAAAATCATTGTGCGCTGGTGGGGCTTGTAGCCACTACCTGAGCTTTGAAAAACGCAGTTTGCACAGTGACAAATCCAAATCGGTTGAGTGAAACAAAAAATAATTGGTTTTGAATGTTTTGATTTCTAAGCCTTAAAGCAGTTAGATTTTTTTGGAATGAAGTCCAGGGCCCTGGGATATTCACTTACAAAGCCATTGATTTCTTTTGCGTTGTTTTGTTTTTGTCCACCCCACCAGCGATAACATTGTTTCAATGGAAACATTCTTTTGACAGAGCGTTCTTGGGTTAACCATGTAGAGTTTCGCCAGATCACATGTGAGATGCCTTACAAAACAGTTTTTAGCTGGATTCTTCCTGATTTGCAATTTACGTATTTAAAATGATTTTCTGTACACTCTGCAGTACAGTAAGGGATTCTTCAGTGAGCTCTTCAGCCTTTCTGATTCTGCCCTGATACATTTATCTATCTAATCTATCTTTTAAAATCATATGTCTGCGCTGTTAAATATCACAAACATTTTTGTATTACTGCTAAGTCATCTCAAAGATTTTTAAGTTGAACAGCATCAGTATGGCTCACCTTTGAGTTCAGAGATGAAGCTGAAAAAGAGAAAACTGTGAAGCACCAGAGACTTCTGACCCATTTTAACCATGAAATGCTGTAGCGTAGGCAGCCCTGGGGATAGGAGCAGAGTGACATGGCAGATCTGATAGCATGACCTCATCTTCTAGTACTTATATTTGGCATAGATTAATAAATTAATGTTTAAGATGAATTTTATCAACCTTTCTATAAAAAATGTCTATATAAAACACCAGTTTATAATTTCCGGCTTGACATTACAGCGGGTACTTACCTCTGTTGAAACCAGTCTGGGAGCAGTGTGCAGTCCAGGGGTTAGTTTGCTGTTTTTGAAAGCTGTGGTTTGCTCTTCCGAGACATTTTATACTGCCAAAGGGTTTTATAGCATCCCAGTGAAGAGACGCACCTGTCTCTGGTTCAAACCACCCAGGTTTTATAGTGTTAATTAAGCTTTGTGCAAACAGGGAAAGGCTGACTCCAAGCTGTGTGGAGATCATTGCATTGTCATTGCAGCTCCTGGAAGATGACAAGAAGGTGCTATTTGCAACAGATGTATAAAGGCCTTCCTCTTACTCGAGAGGAAGAGGATGGGCAGACAGCAGATTTACAGGTGTCCCCTCTGTTTATCCCTCTCTGTTATGTGATCTGTTACATGTCCTAAAATCACAGCCTAATTTTCATTTTTTTAATCATAATTCTACCAGGTATGTTCTTAAGAAGTTTATCTCAGGTCATGCCTGTACAGTGCTCCAAGATAGAAATACTGGTTCTGGCTTCTTTGAAACTCACTTAGATCCTTTCAGTTAGATCACAAAAATAAAAGGCAGAGAAATTATCTTAAAGTGTCTAAGTTACATCTGCACCCTCACACACATGTGATTTCAATCAAATTAAACTATATTTTTTTCAAAGGGCTCCAGCAATTCCTTAAACATCCAAACAATTATTAAAAGATACAAAAATGTCATTGTCAGATAGTTTAAAAATGTGTATTATACGTAAACCTTCTATTTTTGGCAGTGTGAGTGATATACAGTAAGTGCTGTTAACATGAGTAATAAAGTGAGAGAATGAGTTACTTGCCAAGGTTAGGGATGGTGAGAGTGTGTGCCAGCACATCAGAAAATAATGCAGAGGCACCAGGTTGTATCTCTTATACACCAATGACAACTACCACATTAAGTGGGACTGTGTGACCCTGTTGTGTAGTTTTATTCAGCAAAATGTGCTGCAGCTTTTGAGATATCGGCAGGTGATTGGGCATGCATTGTGTGTGTGTTTCCCCAGCTCCGCAAGAGGGAAAGAAAGGGTTGTCCTTCTGACGGAAGAATTGAGTGCAAAGTCCACTAGTAGTGGTTTCAATTGCTTGCCAGTATGTATTTCATAATCGTGATACCCATCATTTGGACAAAAGGCATTTAAATATGTGCTCTTCACTACCGGGAGCAAAATCTGCATGCACCTCACATCACATCAGTGCTGCACACTGTGAGTGAGCGAAAGTCCAGTATAGACTGAACTTCAGGATAAACAAACACACGCAGCCACTGAATCATAACAAGGGACACGGACTGCCCCTGTTGCGTGACAGCCCACCAGTGGCAGGGCCAGGAGAGCAGAATGACTTCACTGGTCCACGTGACTCACGGGTGCACTCTTCTGTGATCCAGTGGGTGAGGTTACAGGTTACAGGTTGGATTGCAGCTGAAAAACGTGAATGCATTCAGAAGTATCCAGGCGTGTAGTAGTAGTTGTGCTGAGCATAGCATTTCTCTTATCGATTTTTCTCAGAAGCTGCACCGTAGCAGCCTCATAAAGCAGGCATGCCGTACAACTTTTCAAGATTTCATCAAAGGAGCAGGACTGCCAATACTAGAGACCAAAGGTCTATCTGCTTATCCACAAAGACTTGGAATCACAAGCTTTAGCAATAATTTGCCATCTCTTATCCCTATGATAGATCACTAACACATCTCTTTGCCAACAGACCCTGTTTACAAGGGATTGCTGACCTCTTCCAGGACCTGAGAGTTCTCAGAAAAACCTGTTGTGCAACACAGATATGGTAATCATGGGTTCAGAGTGTATTTATATTGCATTCCTCTGGAAGATTTGTAATGAGAGCGGTAAGGTTCTTGCTGCCAGTGCGTGCTTATTGCTGGCCACAGCTTTCAGTTTTGAGGTCCCCTCCTAGCATTAAGCTGGGTCAAAGGTTAACAGGCACCACTGGTGGTTTGCCAAAGCTCTTTCTCTTCTGTCATCAGATGGACAGCAGTCATGTGGGAGTGGAGTAAAATGGGGACTGGGATCACCCTTGGAGCTCTAAAAGAATCTCTCATTTGTAGTTAAGCACATAAGGCTTGTGAGCAACTTCATTGTCGCACAACCTGTTGAAAGTGAGAAAAACCATGACATTGGATCAAAATGTTGCGATGTTTCCTTTTGATGGGATTTGAGAAAGTGTCACCATGAGACCCACATAATCACCACCAGCCTTCCACAAAAGCGCTTAGTTGTTTGCGCAGACTTTTCTGATAAGATTAAGAACTGACCCTTCTCCTTAAAGATAGTATATTTTGTACTCACACAGTGATCCTGCTGCACGTTCTTTAATCAGTAACTGGACAAAACTGGAACATTGGAAGCTGTTCCTGGCACAGCCCTCTGCATCGGCTTATCGACTGGAGCACAAGCAGTCCTTTCTCCTGGATCTTATTCCCAAAGATCTGGAAATGGAAAAGACAGAGAATCAAGAATCTGACCATTTCCCGGTGTGCAACAGGAAAACTGGCGAAGACTCCGGCCTCAGGTCCAAACTATTCCGCTGGATACCAGTGGATTACAGAGATGAACTGTACCAACTTCTGCGGCTGACTGGGCCCTTGGTAAGAGACCCTCAACCCTAAGCTGTCTCTCACACTTCTTGTATAACGGTCAGAGGAGTAAGGACATGACGAGGATATGTGATGCACTGGTTTGCAAACAAAAACATGTCAGTCATTAAAACTGATGGGCATTTGTGTTTTGTCCAAATGTCAACTGATTTATTTCTGTTGTAGGACAGTGCAAGTAAAATCATGTTTGTTTCACAATGATCTTTGAAAAATGAAACTTTCTGGGCTGGAGTTTGATTTACTAACAGTGGCTTTGGGGTGCAGAAATACTGTAGAGTGTTGAAAACTGGATTTTAAAGTAATGACAGAGTTTATCGCTATGAGCATATGTAGATTAAGCGCATACTGTAGTCTCAAACATCAGCAGCGTACAGGCACAGCAGGCTACCAGGTGTTTTAGTTATGGAAGGGTGCACACAAGGGAATTGATAATATACATGCATGCATATACAGTGCATTGATTTTTAAGGTGGGTTTCGGGGGGTGATTTTTTTTAGACATGTCTTTTCTGCTTGGAAACTTTGTTTCACTTGTTCATCTTGATGTATTGTTCCACATGTAAAACTTGAACCAGAAAAAAATATTTTTGGTTTAAAAGTGTTGCATATTTTTAAATGGGGATAAACTGCTAGTTTGTATTTCCTTTCATTGTTCTTCTTTTTGTTTCCCAGCTGGCATCTCGGCTTATGAATTTCTTGTTGCCTTTCACCATCACTATTTTCTGTGGTCACCTGGGGAACATGGAGCTGGCCGGCTACGCTCTGGCTTCAGCGGTGAGTGTGCCAGCTGAGCCTGGAGGTGCAGAGTGGTGGGAGTGGGTCTGAATGTAGTACATTTTGCACAGGAGAGAATTTCAGTGGAATTCAGTGACCCCAGAGAAGCCAGCATATGAGGCTGTTTTTACATTGATGTTTTCCTTTCCAGGTTATTAATGTCACAACAGCTGCAACCGGATTTGGGCTAGCGTTGGCCTGTGACACGCTGGTGTCTCAGGTAAGCAGATACCTACAGTGTTTTATCAGGGTCTTATTACAGCCCAATAGGGGATCTTATTGCATCCCAATAAGGATGGACCTTCCGCTCCTCATCCTGTAAAAAGCTCCTTTTGATGAGGTTCCAAGTTCAAAGCTTGGCTGTGCCACTAGCCAGCTGTGGTAGTGAGTCAAAGGTGTGGCACTGCATGATTGCTGCTGTGGTTGATTAGGCAACAGTTAGCTACACAGGCTTAATTACGTTCCTTATAGGAGCCTTTTACAGTGATGCCCATACTCCCTGTGTTGGCTGACTTGTCCTTGTAGGTTCAGGGAAGTGCTGGGGACACAGTTCTGATTGTACCAGACACATTTTCTGAAAGATCTTCATCTGCTCTCACACTACAGTACATTTTAATACTGCCTGATTGCTTGCAGTTAGAGAAATGAGCTTTACAATGCACTTTTTACATGTGCACATGCATACCCAAAAAAGCCTGGGTTTGCATGTGCAGACTGCTGGGGGTATCCGAGGGGATTCAGGGATGTGGGACACTTGTCCATTCCACATCAGGGTGAAGAAACATGCAGTGATTCTGCAGCAGCCCTACTCTTCTCCAGACTTGAATAAGACTTAACCAAAATGTCACAAACCCCTGTTAAATACCTGGCTTGGTACAGGAAATCTTATTTAATGCCAGTGCACTGAAATGCGCACCTCTGCTCTTTCCCTGACAGACTTTCGGGGGCAAGAATCTGAATCGCGTTGGCGAGATCCTGCAGAGGAGCATTCTCATTCTGCTGCTCTTCTGCCTGCCCTGCTGGGCCACTCTCATCAACTCCGAGACCATCCTGCTGGCCTTGTACCAGGAGGCGGAAGTGGCCAGGTGAAACAGAATTTAACTATTACCAGTGTCGGTCTGTGAATGAGCAAAAAAGATTAGTTTTTCAAAGATGGCCATACAAACCTGTCTTATATCTGTGAAGCATTTGCTGTTGGTACTGTTGCCTTATGCAGAGTGCTTTCTCTCAGTTTAAATTTCTCTGCAGATCGACTTACTGTTTTTCTGAGCCTATGGCAACTACTTCCATGACTGTCACCTTTCGTATAAAAACTCTTGCTTGTTCTTTAGGCTGTATGATTAAAAATAAGGAACATGCAAAACGTTGTTGAAGATGCTTCTTCATATTATCCTTCCTTATTTGGTGCAGATACCCCTATTCCATGTGACTCGAAATATATAAAAAGTAACAAGCAATAGGTTTATTCCATTCTGAAAAGAGAAGAAAGAAAACGCAATGTTTCGGCCGTGGTGTCTTCCTCAGGTGAATAAACCTATTACTTGTTCCTTTGTTCCAGCCTTCGCATGCTGACGCAGCTGCCCACCTGAACTACTTCATATATAAAAAGTGTTCATTATGCAGTAAATAAATGCAAGGCTACTGTTGTGCAGGTACAAAAAATGAATAGATACAAATAAAATTGATAAACCTTATTTGGCACAGAGGTGAAAATGAAAGACAAAGCCCCAGGAAAGCCCCAGGAAATGGAAGTTAAACAGAAGCAAGATGTGCATGATGTGCAACATCACTGAGAATGCAAGATCCAGGACTCTGGGAATTCAGTTCTCTTCAGCTTCTTCTTAAGTCCCTTCAAATGATGGCTCGACAGGCACCCATGTTCAGGACATACTGTATAAGCTTTCCCATGGTACAGAAGAATAGTCCAGCTAAGGTCATATGAGCTATCCTCAACCACACTTAGCAAAGTTGAGCCATTGGGTTCTTCAAAGCCAACCAGAGGATCCAAATGGAGAAAAAGGGGTAGTGCATGAGGAATGTCTTTAAAAACGATCCCGGCAGGTCTGTAATAAGCTGTCCGAACTTGTTGTGTAAACTGATACCCTGGCTTCTTACAGAAACAGGTGTATGAGATCCTTGAGTGTATGAGATCCTTAAGTTACTAGCAGCCTAAAAAGGTTGCTGGACTAATTGGCTACCTCCCATTTGTAAATGTTTGTGTCCTCTTTTCATTCTATTATGCCTCTATTTTGAATGTTGCTAATGTTTCAGTATTAACTGTAACACACGAATGGTATAGGTTTGTGTTTCACAGCAAAGCTGGCTTAATAGCCTTAACACAGTCTTACATAGTGCAGATAAACTTAAAAAAATACAAATGTTATGTTTTTGCTTTTCAGGATAGCTCAGCTGTATGTGGTTGCGTTTCTACCTGCTGTTCCTGTAAGTATGTTTAATAAAAAGTAAGCTCATTTCTTTTGTTCAGTAAATTGTTACATTTTGGGGGAAGGGAGGGTTGCATTTGATTGTAGATGAGCTCATATTGTCTGAATTGTGTGGGTTCAGCTGTCTTAATTTGAACCCACACAGTTCATTTAAATGTCTCAAGTGTCTTAAATTGTTTGCTCTGTAGATTTTACTTTTAAGATTTAGGCTAGTCGATTTCTTTTTTGACCACAGACCACAGACTTTTTTTTATACCTTGGAACAGCCAGTTATCTTACTGCCTGACAAGCCTTGACAAGCTACGTTCTTCTTCTCGGACTTTGGAGTCAGAACACAGAACACGTGGTTTCTGCTCAGTTTGTTGTCAGGAGAAGACAGAGCCTTCCCTATTAATGCTAAAACCCCACAGCCACACATTCAGCAAGTGGGGTAAAGGTGTACGTTTGAGATCTCCCAGCAGACTCTACTCTGTCTCAACCCCTGCTCAGCTGAAATACATACATCCCCTGGGAGCTCAGCCAGCTGACAAGTGGCAGAGCTGGGATTCAAACCCGTGATCTCTGTGCAGTAAGGTTTATCTTGCAGTCCTAGGCCTTCACTGCACTGTTTACCAAGGATCATACTTTCTTACTTGTTTAAACAATCCTCAAAATCAAAACTTCAGGCTCCCTGGAAGTCACTACTCTGTTGATTAGGTGCTATATTTATATGAACCCTTGTGAAAATTATTCTCAACCCCTTTATTTTTCACTTTCTAGAAAGGGTCACTCTGTCCCCATATAGTATCAGTCCAGGTTTCCTGTCTAAACAGGACAGGGTCCTGTATTCTATAGGATTCCCCCGCTTCTGTTCCTGTGTTTTGCGTTGTGCTTTAATTTTGCAGTGTCCTCTGACTCGCCCCAGCAGGAGAGGGCCTTGTAAAACAAGAATCTGTGCTGTTGTCATAATTGTGAACTCCTAACTCCATCTTCTCTGCTCTGCAGGCCATGTTTCTTCACCAGCTGCAGGTGGCTTACCTGCAGAACCAGGTACAGTGGTGGCTCTGTTCGGGGCTCATTTACATCTGCCTTGATCGTTTACGTCTGCCTGTCCATTATCAGAAAGCTTGTCATTCCTGGTGAGGGCACAAGGCAGGACCAAAGACTTGACAGGACACCAGTTCGGTGCCAGTGGCACACGCAATTCACAGATTTCAGCACATCTTTGGGAAACACAGGCAAACCAGATCACCTGGAGAAAGCCTGTGTGGACTCAGGGAGAACTGGGGTTCCTCTGTTCTTCTTAATTTAAATGAGGGCTTTGTTATATTTTCACAGAAAATAGAGCATTGTAAATGTTCTTTATTACATTATTAAAAAAAGCTGCTTAGATGACTGTGCTTTTTCTGTAGGGTATAATCTGGCCACAATTGTATACAGCTGTTGCTGCGAATGTCATCAACGTGGCAGTGAACTACGTCCTGCTGTTCCAGATGCATCTGGGAGTGAAGTATTTTGATTAATTTCCTTCTTTAATTATTTTCACTTTCATTTTCCTGTTCTTTGAATAATACTGGTGGCTGTGCTTTCTTGTCAGTGCTATATTATGTCCTTTTCTTCAGAGGGTCTGCAGCAGCTAACAGCATATCTCAGATTGCCATCTGTGTGCTTTTGTACGCTTTCATTCGCTGGAAGAAGCTACATGTGAAAACCTGGGGAGGTGAGTGCAGGACGTGTCCACTTAGCTCCTGGCTTGTCCTCATGTGGTAATTCTGCAACACTCCTGCATAGCATATGGGGGCAGCATGGAGTAGTTGTTAGAGCCTAATAAAGATTCAAAAACTAGCAGGTCCAAATTACAAAGTTTTATAACTTGAAAAATAATTTGGTAGTTAATTTATTTATGTTAAAAAAATACCTAGCTAAATGCCAAACTAAATGGTTGTAAAAACTACACAAGAATGCTGTTTTTTGTAAGCTTTATTATAGTCTGCTGCTCTTGTGAGTGAGATTAGCAGCTGGCTGTTGGAATTTGTTAAAGTGACTCTTTGTCTCCCCATACAGGCTGGTCCACGGCATCTCTTCAGGAATGGGGCTCCTTCATGCAACTGGCCATTCCCAGCACCCTTATGCTGTGCTTTGAATGGTGGATCTATGAGATCGGAGGATTCCTTGCAGGTCTGTTGCTGTTGATGTCTTGATTTCAAGTTAAAAGAAAAAAAAAACAGAAACTAGAATTGCATCTCTGTTATCCTGAAAGCATAGAGAACTGAAGCAGTGTGTGATCTGAGGTAGAGAAAGGTTATAATAATAAACTTTATTTTATATAGCGCCTTCAAAGGTGGCTTCTCAAAGCACTTTACAGAATGACAGTAACAACAACAAAAAAATACACAAGATATGCACAATGAGAATACACAGTTAGAGGAGACAGTAGATGGTGCTACTAAATACAGTAGGAGCTGAGGGATAAAGAACAGAACCAGTTAAGTAGAGGCTCTTCTAAAGAAGAGGGTTTTGAGTCTGGATTTGAAGGAGTTTAGAGAAGGTGACTCTCTGATATCCTTGGGGACAGAGCTCCCCCAGTCTGATCGTAGCGCGATGTCTCTTCTTTGCCCCCTTTGGGACTGTGGCTGCTGTGGAGCAGGCATGCTGGGGGAGATCGACCTCGGGGTGCAACATGTGGTCCTGGAGCTGGGAGCGATCACCTACATGGTAACACAGCTAAACGCTGATTAACTGCCTTTATAGCGCTGATGGGAAGGAGAGCAGGTGGTGGTTTTTATTTGTTACTGCAAATGTAGTTAAACATTAAATTGACTCATTTCTAGATTAAAATGCCCGCTGATTCAGCAGTAATACTTAACTTAAATTGTAACTGGACAAATGACTGAGGGACAGCAGCTTTTATCATCTGCGTGTTGTTGAATGCTACCTGAAGTGCACTGCTGCCCCTTTAGGTAAATACTGGCGAGTTATGATCCCAAATAGCAGCCTTCCTCCTCAAAGTTTTTCTTCAGAATATGTTTAGTCAAAAAATAAGTTCAGTTTTCTTTGGGGTTCCTGCAGTTTCACTGTGCCATGCTATTGCTTCCTTTGCTGTAATGTTACATCAGAAAGGCAACAGAAGAGAAGATGCCATTCAGATCATCAAGCGTACTCAGTACTGTGGCATAGCGTGATAAAGCTATGGGAGGTCTGCAGATTTAATAGGAACCTTTCAATCGGGCCTTAAAGAAACGATTCACTGAAGCCTAGAGAAGGCTCCGAAAGCCGTCTTTCCCTGCTCGTGCAGACAGGAGTGTGGTGTGTTTTGGACCCAGCGGTTCTCTCAGGCCTCTCTGTCTTCTGTGCTGTGCAGTTTCCCCTGGGCATCAACGCGGCCACCTGCGTGCGAGTGGGGAACGCCCTGGGGGCGGGAGAGATCGACAAGGCCATCATGACCAGCAAAGTGTCACTCGTCTTAGCAGGTCAGTCTGCTGTGCTGGGCGCCGCCACTACCCGTCTTCTGTGAAGCAGGTGTTTCCATAGCAACCTTCAGACGGGTCGGGAGCAAGACAGAGTCTGATAAAGTCAGGGTTTATAGAGGAGTGAGTTGCCAGATTCTTAAACAGAAATATTTTTAAAACTTTATTTAAAAAATGCATAACACAGAGCTTAGAGAATGTTGATATGTTCTCTTTTTTTCTCATCAGCATTGCTGGCTGTTGTCCTGGGGGCTGTAGTGGGTTCTACCAAGTCTGTGATTGGTTACATCTTCACCTCTGATGAGTAAGCAAAAATAGTTTCTTCCAAGCCCTGTAATTCCAGAAATTCCAGAGTGCTTGTGCAAGGAATGCTGGAAAGTGAGATTGGCACCTGGGGTTGATATCCTGGTGAGAGATTGATTTGAGTTGGCGCTTGTGTTTCTCAGCTTGCAGATGTGTGTAGAGAATGCTCCCAGCACCTGTAGGATCACAGCTGTCTCCCCTGAATTGGGGGTTTATTTTAAAAAGGAGAATTTAATGTAATGCAACTGCTACTTCAACTCCTGTTTTCCTGTCTTTCTCAGGATGATTGTGCAGATGGTGTCCGAGGTGATGAATGTGTACATTCCCCTGCAGTTCTTTGATGCTCTTGTGGTGAGTCAAAAAAAACACAGATCGATTTTCCTTTTTACAAAACAGGTAGCCCTAAATGCTATGTACTGTGCAAGGGTCACGAAAGTAATGCCTCTTATTCATGTTAATGAAACATCTAAGACATGGCTTTAAACAGACCCTTATGATGGAACCTCCAATAGTAACTAGCAGGACAGCGTTATAATGTTTTTACTGGACAGGACTGAAACAAGCCCATCAAGAAAATACCATTCATCCTTGCATCTCACTCCTGACCGATCCTGACCGGTCTTAACCCAGGATGCCTCTTGCAGTGCACAGCATACATGTTTAGTTTTGAATGCTCAGTGCTGTAGGTAAAGAAGTTTGTGTTGTTGTGTTATTGATTGAGCTCTGATACATAACTGAAGTGAAGGGACGCATTTAGTGTGCACAGTTTACATCCTAAAATCTTTTCAACAGCTCTGAGGCATGCCCGTTTTGTCTCCAGTGTGTCGCTTTAGGCATCATCCTGGGAGCAGGCAAGCAGAAAATTGCTGCAGTCTCTAATCTGATTGGGTATTACTGCATTGGGCTCCCCCTGGGCATCTCTTTAATGTTTGCAGCAAAGCTAAGAGTCTTTGGTAAGATTTTTCTTTGCAACCCAATGGGACATTGCATGCACTGATAGCATATTCAGAATAAAACAAATGAACATTTTTCAAAATTGCCACTTGCATATTGTGCCATGTTTCACAACAGGTTTGCAGTAGAGAAATATACAGGCAACTCTATATATTTACACAAACCATAAATAATACACAGATGTTATACAGTAGTTGGCGCATCTAGCCCACCTTGTGTAGCTTAAGCTTAGATAACGTGTTTGTTCCAAAAGAGAATCTGGTCAGGCCATTCCTGTTCTGCTGCTACAATGTCCTTTCTGGTCTGGTCTTCCCTTTTGCTCCAGGTCTGTGGCTGGGTTTGCTGATCTGCGTCTTTCTGCAGACTACCTTCTTCATCGCCCTCATCCTGAAGATGAACTGGAAGCAAGTGATGGAGGAGGCAAGTCTCAGAAAAGCTGTGCTTGATTGTATCTTCAGTAATTTGATTTAATTTTCATCCGTAGTATTAATTCAAATCTCATGTTTCCACGAAGGTTTGCATTTGAGAAAGGCAGAAGCCGGGGCACCGGCTAGTTGTGTACTTCACTGCTCCACACCCCAGTCTGTCTTTGATGCTGAAGGGGCGCTGTGTTGTTCTGCAGGCCCAAGTGCGTGCTGGGAAGACTGTGCGTGTGACACGCGTGGGGATGAAGCCACCTATTGGAGAGGCTCTGACAGACGGCCTGTCCACAGAGAGCTCAGGACACACTTCAGAGCAGAAAACTGTCCCCAGAGAGGTGAGAAAAACAATTTAATTGGCCCAGGGACCTCTGACCTTCCTGCAGCCTGGTTTGATGTCTTTCAATGAAGTCCAGGTCTATGAGACAGAGGGTTGTTTTAGGGGAGGAAGTTTTTAATTTTCATTGGCTGTCTACACTTCAACTTGTATTGAGGAGACAGAAAAATGTTTTTTAATAGAAGCAGTGAAGGTTCAACTTCAAACAATGTATCAAAAATGCTTTTTTTTGTTGAAACATTCTATATGCCATTAACTCTTGGTTTGTGTAGAATTACAAATAGCTCAGGAAATTTCTGTTTGGGTCTTGGGTTCGAGTGCGGTGACGCTCTGTGTTCTCTGACACAGCCCGGCGGCAGCAGGATCTGCACATACACAGCCGTAAGGACAGAGGAGCGTGGGGGGCTGGCGCTGGAGGTCACAGGGGACCCTGAAGGGGACACTAGGGAAGAGGAGGTGAACCCCAGGGGCCTCCTCTCTCTCAGCCAGCTGGTCTGGCGCCGGGGACTGGTTCTACTGGCTGGACTGGGCATCTTGGCCATTGGCATCATCATGCACCTCATCTTCCCCCCAGACGTCCTGGCTCAGGCACGGGGCAATTTCTCTGTCTCTCTGGAGGCGAGCAACCTCTCCAGCCCACTGCCATGGGACAACTTCACCACCCTGTCCTGAGCTGCATTCATACGACAGGGAGGGGGGACTTCATTGCTGGTTACAGCTTCTCCCTGGTGTTCTAAATCGTCAGATCTTTCCAGCTCAGCCCTGCCCAGTGGACTGACAGACTGTTGCTCACAAGAACAACTAGTGAGACATGCGCTTTGCTTGTCCTTTTCCCATGACTGTTTTGGGACTGAGCCGTTAGGACCATTTTGTTACAGCAGCTGAAATTCTCTTCACCTTGTGCAACAGACTCACAGTGACACAAAGGAAGGACATTGCTGTGTCCTCTCATTCAGTTGCTCTGTCATTGTCACAGTTACAGTTTCTTTCGTATCTTTATCAAGCAACCATAACTGCTGTTGAAATGTGTGTTGTGTTTTTTTTTAATTAAAGCTCTTTTCCTGTTCCTACCGTGTTTTTTTTCACTTTTAATTTATCTCTGTCAACTTAATGATGTCTGTCTTGACGGTTCATGAAATGCCCACAGTGAAATATGATGTTTGGCTAAACTGAACCACGAGGACAGCAGCCAGGATCTAAATTGAAGGACAGAAAATTCGGCAGCAGAATGTTAAGCAGATTGAATATTGATGTAAGTGCACAGTCATTCGTCTGACAAATGCAATCACAGAACGCCTGTGTATGTGTCCAATAACAAATTACTGACGTTAATTTTCTTACCAGATGTCTGTGCAACTCTGTAACTGTACCTACACCAGACATAAGGAGGATAGGATAACTGAGTGTTAAGATCTGTACTGGGAGTAAAAATCAATATACTGTATAATTTATCGATTTATATATTTTCAAATACTACATTTTAAAAAACTCTGCAGGTCATATGGCCTCCATCAGCACTGGTGTGCTGTGGCTCTCACTGAGACTGTTTGAAGCTCCATGTGTCCTGTGCTGCTGTCGGTACACATTGCTGTCCTGACCGGGCCCCGACAGTGACGTCATGACTGGCGCTTGTGTGACATGTTTGCTGCAGGTTGCTGGGACAGTCCAGGCTGGAGCACAGCCGTCACCGGATAATCAGTTCAGGGTTGGGAAGGGGGATGCTCGATGTGACTTCTTAAATATCGCCGTTCCCAGTGATGAAAACTTTCTGTGCTTCTGCATGCCATTCAGGGAATCTGGGATGTTTCAGGGAATGCTTGAAATATGTGGGTTGGCTGCAGACTTGAACTGGCTGATGCTTACAAATAGAGCATATTTTGTCATGTAGTTTTTTTTGGGGGGGCTGCTTTGTTTTGGATTTATTGATGAAACAGATGTGTTTTGGATTTTACAGTTGTCGAAGACATACTGGTGTGAACTGTGATGCATTTTTGAAGCTAAGCAGGTGTGAGCCTGGTCAGTACCTGGATGGGAGACCTCCTGGTAAAAACTAAGGCTGCTGCTGGAAGAGGTGTTAGTGGGGCCGGCAGGGGACACTCACCCTGTGGTCCACGTGGGTCCTAATGCCCCAGTATAGTGATAGGGACACTATACTGTAAACAGGTGCCGTCCTTCGGATGAGACATAAAACCGAGGTCCTGACTCTCTGTGGTCATTAAAAATCCCAGGGCGTTTCTTGAAAAGAGTAGGGGTGTAACCCCAGCGTCCTGGCCAAATTTCCCATTGGCCTTTACCAATCATGGCCTCCTAATAATCCCCATCTCTGAACTGGCTTCATCACTCTGCTCTCCTCCCCACTGACAGCTGGTGTGTGGTGAGCATTCTGGCGCACTATGGCTGCTGTCGCATCATCCAGGTGGGGCTGCACACTGGTGGTGGTGGAGGGGATCCCCATGACCTGTAAAACCTTTTTGAGTGGAGTGTCCAGAAAAGCGCAATATAAGTGGAAGCAATTATTATAAATTATTATTATTTTCCACGTGTGCATCTCGGCCTCTTGACAGGCAGTAGGCCAAAGTCCGAGCTCCACTTTGCTAACCTGCCCTGTCTCAACCTGGTGTACTGTGTTAAGAACATAAAAACTATTTATTGGTCCATTTAGGCTTTTTGGTAATAGCATATTGATCCAAGGATCCCATTCAACTGTTTGTTAAAGGAATCCAAAGTGCTGGCTTCAATCACAGCTTGTTCCTTGTTCCATGCCCCTACAACCCTTTGGGTAAAGAAGTGACACCCTATTGTTTGTTTAAAATGCACTTCCGAGTAGTTTTACACTTATGTCCTCTAATTCATGTTCATTGCACTTTTAACATGAGTTTTTTTTATCATGAACTTTATACATGATACAAGTTTCATTACTATTGCTATTTTCTTTCATCTCTTCCAAAATACTATTCCCATCTGTCTCTGTGTTTTTGTTCAATTTCGGAGGCATTTGTACCCAGACCCTTGTTCCTGGTTTGCATGGAATTGACACCTTGACCATATGGACGGGGACTGCCACCGGACCACCGCTAGAGGTTGCTAAAGAAGCGGGCACAAAAGACCTGCTGTCAGTAGCTCACTGGTGGTACACATACTGTAACTGTGCATTAGTTTTTTTGGTGTTTTGTGTTGTATTTAGACGTGCTTTTAAGGTCAAAACAGCTCGATAAGGTAGAAGACAGAGCATTAGGAGACAAAAACAATGTATTTGAATTCAGTTCATTTTTGAAAATTTAAATTTTAAAGAAAAAAAGTGTTTGCCAAGACATACAAAACAGCTTTTGCAAAGTCATAAATCCACTTTTATGATAACCACTTTGCTGGATACAAGCAGCAATGATGTCTTCTAAAGATCCTCGTGAGGCTCATGGTGTATGTGACCCTCTGTGTAAGCCACAACACGTCTCTTGTAATCAGACTAGCCAGAAAAGGTTTGATTTTGTTTTCTTGTTCAGTGCAACTAAAAATATCTTAAACCTATTGCAGCAAAAATTTTGAGCAAGTTTTGATGTTATTGAGTGTTTTCCAAAATGCAGGTATGCGGAAAGTCAGGTCTGGTGTCAGAATAACTGTCTGATGCCTGTTGTTTCAGTGGAGTGGCTGTTCCGGACGCTCTCCCTCTCGCCTACGAGCGACGTGACAGCGTTGCTGTGGGCACTGGCGATTCCAAGGGCCTGGGGGCACTCAGCTGTTGGAGCGCGCCCCCTTTCCAGGTCCGGTGGGACAAGCCGCCGGAATTTCGGCCGGGGTGTCCCCCCTGTGAGTCCCAAGTCAGCCGAGGTGTGTCCCAAGTCAGCCGAGGATGTTGGTCAGGACGAGGTTGACGATGACTCCGGCCGCCAGGATGAAGAGCGCGACGCAGAGGGTGAGGCCGCGGCGCAGGACCAGCGAGCGGAAGGGCAGGACCTCCCCCACCGTCCGGCTGCTGCCGCCGCCCCCTCCCCCGCCCTCGTCCAGGGCTTCCACGTCAGTGTGGCCCTCCCCCCGGCTGATGTCCTCCAGCGGCGTCTCCTGCACGGAGTCTGAGCACACAGACGGGCGCGGAGGTGAGACTCCCGTCGAACCGCAGCTGGATCCAGCTCAGGCTGCACACACGCTCCGCCGTGTGACACAGGCAAAGCCACAACAAATACAGTCATGAAAACAATCTGAAGCAAATACTGATTCTGAACTGGCAATGGCCAATTTATAGCTGGAGTACCCCAGACTCTGGAGATACTGGCCAGTGCCCTGCTTCCTATGGACAACATCATTCTCATAATAATTAAAACGAGTCTTACACTTCCTTTACGTTCTTTGTATTTCTTAAATGAGCACGATTGGTGGAGTGTACTGATCAAAAACAAGAGCTGCAGTACACGTGTGTGAAAACGTTAATTTAAAGTTCACGCAAATCTGAGAGCAGACCTAGAACTGCACCTGGGACAGTTTTGCGCACACAGGACTATGGCACATGCCAGCGTTCAGGCCCAGTCTTACCATAAGCGCAGTTCTTGATAGCGTTGGCCTGGATTTTGCTCTCCTCTGTGGGGGTGCTGCTCTGTACCCCAGCTCTAACCAGCGCCTGGAAGAAAACACCTGCCCCGTTACTCCTGTGTCACTAGCACATAGAGTTCAAATTCATTCATGGCAGACCAGAGCCCTCCTGCAACCACACTTCTCTTTAACCGGAACAACGCAGACTAAATCGTTTCGCTCCACTTCGGAGTGAACGGCACATGTAAACCTCAGCTGACTGTGGACACATGATCTAACTCAGCCCTCTCTGCCCAGTTCATGTTGCCAATTCATTAGGTGCTGATTACTATGATGTAATCCCACAGTCTGTAAATTCACATTCCACCTGCAAACGTAGGAAAAGAGGAGGAATCTCAGTGACAACTTGTCACGGGCTTCTCCCTTTTGTAAGTCTCAGTCACATGGTGTACTGCATCTGTTGTCATTTTTGGTTTCTGATTTGTAGGATTAGGATTGTTAATATGTCTAATTGTAACCATCACTTGTACAAAGACATGAATCACATCTTGTTGTAAGCGTGGAACGCACAATGTCATGGCAATGCATGCCTGTACACCTAGAAAGGAAAGGTCTGCCCTGACATTGTATGTGTAAAAAATAGGCAGCATTGACGTATGCCATATTTCATAAGGGGGGAATGAAGAAAGACACAAGATGTGAAGAGGGGTTAACTGACTTCTTCCTAAGCAACAGCCTATAGAGTTTATGGCAGGAAAGGGAGAACTGATAAGGATTCCAGATGCCAGAGGCAAGGTAATCTAAAACTCTGACCATTTGGCCAAAAGGCTGTAAACTGTCCAAACACCGTGACCTCTCCCCATTACCATAGAACAGAGCGATGTCAGAAGTGGCAGGGAAACCCTATATAAACTGAGTTTGTACCGGCATTTTGAACAATACTTCGGTTTTGTTGTTTCTTGCATGCAATAAACTCATCTGTTTAACTTCATCTTGGGATCCAGAACCTTATTCTTTCTGTTACAGCAATTTTGGCTTAGTTGGCAAAATTGCCAAACAGACTTAGTCCATGCATGATAGGTTAATGCTATTTTTTCCCCCCAAGGCCCTGTTGCAAATTGGTGCAGAGTTTTAAACCTAAAAAAACAGGTGTTCTCAGACTGCAGCCCTTCCAGCCCAGTTCCACTGCTGGACTTTAGCGCAACCCTGTTACACTAGGTGTCCTGCTCGATCACCTGTTAAAGAACCAAGGAACCGGTTGCATTGAAATACTGGAATGGAGTGGACTGGGGGGAGGCTGCAGTTTGAGACGTGATGGGACTCTCTCACCTCTTCTGTGGCTTTTTTCCAGTCGAGCTTGACGAGGAGGAGGACGAAGAAGAGGGACTGTAACGCCACACAGATCAACAAGCCCGTCCACAGACCTGGTGAGACAACCGCAGAGAGAGTATCTTTTCAGGGAGACCACGGGAGCTGAGGGGGATGGTTTATAGTCTGAGAGAGAGACAGAGTAGGACCAGATTCCAAGACGAATATGACAGAGAGACAGACGCTTGCCTTACAGAAAGTTCTCGACACCACAGTGGCATGTGTGCACACTGTCATCAGATGGCAAAACACACTCAAAACTAGATAATATTGAACATTTTGTGTGTAAAAACAAAAAAACAGTAAAAAAGTACTGTTTTACTGCAAACACTACCCCCAGAATGGCATGGCGTGCTTTCAGTTCTGTATGGTGCCTTCTTTGTGCTGCTCAAAACACAATGTCCTGAGTGGCTGTACAGAGTTCTTGACCGTCTGGCTCATGACTGATCCTTGATTGAATCCTTACCTATAATTCCCATGTTTACTGCAAACATCAAAGAGACTCCAATGGGGAACCCGATGAAGTAATATCCCACCAGATTGCAGATCGCGCCCATCTTCTGTTTCCCTGTACCCCTGACGACTCCTCCGGCCACACACTGGAGAGGGGACACCGACAGTTACAAAACACATATCGACAGAAAACAGTCTTTTGCTAGGAGAACTGTGACTGGAGTGTTTTCCCATTTTCTCGACCTGCCTTAAACGATTTGTTCCATAGAGCTCAAAAAGTCTCTTTGGTACCAAAGCCTTGAGTGTGTGTCAGCAGATCGATCGGGGGTGTCTGCTGGTTTAAAGACAGCTCCCCAGTCTGTGTACAAGAGTTTGTGAGTTGAGGTTTTCCATCTCGCACTCCTTGTTAATTGAAAGGTGTCTCTGAAACCTGCAGTGGTGTTGGGACTCGCTTGTGCCCTCGCTTGGTCCTGAACAGCCTCACTGGCCTGTTTGATATACAGCCCTAAATGGACAATGAGCAGAGATCTGGGAAGCATGTTGTGTCCTTCGAATTAAACAAGTGCTTGAGGCCACTTCAGTCATTCTGAGCTCCACTGAAGACACAGTGGAGCCCGAGAACACTGGTGTGGACAGCTCGGTGTCCAAGGAGGAGTGTTAGCCTCAGAGCTGAAGAGCTTGGAGTTTTCAAGTCACATGTACAAGTTCTTTCATGACGGGCAGAATGGAGCAGCGCTTTAATGTCCTCTTGGACAGGCTGTCATAAGCAGTATTGTGTGTATATGTGTGTATATATATGCTGTATATGTAAAAGCACAATTTCTCCAGTGGAATTTCAACTTAAAAATGTCTAAAGGCTTTGTTTTTCAACAATTCTGAAAGTCGGCCTCTGTAGAGCCTTTAAAAACAAAATGGCATTGAAAATTCATTTCTCACCGCTATGGCGTCGAAGAAGTGGGACAGCGCATAGAGAACCATGACCTGGGAGACGCGGGTTATAATCTCCCTGCGGGCAGAGAGACAGTGTCAGACCTCAGAGCTGAGACCTGAGACCGGACTGGCCTGGCCGGGAGCCCACCGCCTGCTTACCGAGAGCCCCGAGGACATCTCACGAGAAATCATCTCGGCCGGACGTGAGGTGTTGTGTACTGTAGAGACTGGTTTTCTGACGCGGTTGAAAGCAATACCCCATGTAACTCGGCCAGTGATGGCTCTTTATTTCGGCTAAGGAACATTTGAAAGGTGAATTTTCGGGATGACTGTAATATCCAAAGATTTATCCATTCCAGATATGGCTTTTTCCCTAATATGACGTTGGTGGTAAAAAAGGAGTCCGTTCATGCTGTGTCTAAGCAAGTAAAATGCCCTCTGCATTTGGAGTGGAGGAATGAAAGACCATGGCGTCTCTCTGCTCTCCAGGCTCTTCAGCGTGTATTTTTTTGCAAAACAGCTTTCAAGTTTCCTCTTAGGCCTATGATCTATCCTTCCATTTTCTATCCACTTCTTCCAATTCAAGTTTTGCAGGAGCTGGAGCCTATCCCAGCAAGCCAGGCTACACAGCAATCCACTGCAGGGCAAAGACACACACACACAGCAGGGCCAGTTTTCCCTGAATAACCCGACCAGCATGTCTTTGGACTGTGGGAGGAAACCCCACGCAAACATGGGGAGAATATGCAAACTCCCCGCAGACAGCACCCCAGGTCCAGAATTGAACCCAGGGCCCCATGACTGCGAGGCAGCAATGCTGACCCCTCTGCTACCTTGCCACCCCTATAACCCCTTTATCCTGTTGTTTATTCCAAGCCAATTCATGCACATAACTTGTCATTTCACATCAGTGAATCCAGTTTTTCTTTACTCTGGAATCTGTCCAAACAGACTGTAGGGAGAGCCTCTCCTGTCTCTCTCATATGCTGACTGGAGCAATGAGATGACTCATTTAACCCGACATTGATGTCGATTAACCCGTCCCCAGAGCCACATCCTGCCGAGACAGTGCCAGGAAGGTCCACAGAGTTTCACAAGCGGGCTCTTGCCTAACCCTGGGGGGGGTGGCAGAAACCCACACAGAGAGAAGGGGGGATTCTCACAGAATGGCCTGGGACAGTTTAACATTATCGTGAAAGAGACAAGCTGTCACAAACTCAGAACTTGTGTCTTGTTATACGTGATAGATTATGTAACATTTCTTTCCAGGGGCGCGTTCCACGTGAGACTCACGTGTCGTTGGTGAAGATGTAGGCGATCACGTCCTTCGTAGTTGCGATGATGACGGCTACTATCACCGAGACCGCAACTGCGAGGAAAGGACAGCGGTCAGGGGCTGGGACCCTACTGCATTCCCGTAAGAAGGATTCCTGGCAATTTCTGTGTTGACGTGGGGATCGGTCATGGATGCCTGCTTTGCAAGAATCATAAAACCTTTCCAAGGATAAAATATGCAAAATGCAATTAATCGGATGGCAAAATGAAAATTTGATCTAAGGTGCTCTCATAAGAAAGACTCTAGCTGCGAATACACTAGACAGTCTGCGAATACACTGCAATGAGCACACACACCTAGTGCTGTTTCTTCATTATATAACCTCTCTTCTTCACTTTTAACTAGTGGATCTCTTGCACTTTGGTTTGAACAAAGTGCAAGTACAGATAATTCCAAAATATTTTCTAATTATTTTAATATCTTTGATTCCCTTTCCTAAAAGATAAACCTGTGTACGGACTGTTTAAAAATCAGAACACTTTGTTCTTTAAGTGGGTGTGAGATTAAGCAGACATCGTACAGGCCCCCACTCACCCGCTTGATACAGTACCTGCCCGCTTTCTATCTAGAGGGAGCCACGATTTGGAAATATAAAACCTCCGTCTTATGTAGTGCTTTTAAAAGCAGTCATCTTAAAATCAGAGACTTAAAAATGTCTCTCTCATAAATCAGAGAATGAGTTCCTCGCAATTTGATTGGAATTTCCGAGCGCCGCAGTGAGATAAATACTGTAGCGCTCTCAGGTTCACGTGGGTCTGCGCCCTCGCCGCCGCTGCCTCAGGTCGGCCCCCCTCACCGCTGGGGACTCGAACCCGGGCCTCTGGCATCACTCCACAGGGACCCAGCCAGTTGAGCTCAAGGGAAATCTCCCATCAGCCCGGCGGCTGAGGTCCCTGCTACTCACAGGGAAGGGCGGTGACGTCACCGCGCTGGTAAGCCGGCTCGCACAACCTGTAATGTCGGCCGTATGTGTTACAATACTTTATCTCAGTAGGTGTGTCACCTGGCTCAGAGACAGGCCTGCTTTGAGTTGGGCTCACTAAGACAAGGATAGAGACAATCCCGCCTCTGCACAGACCGGAGCCGGTTCAGACTCGCCCAAGCCCGCTCTCCCCCAGTCACTCACCTGCGGTGATCATGGAGACTTTGCCAGAGAGCTTGGCCAGTTGCGTGTCTCCAGCTCCCAGGGCACTCCCCACCCGGACACTGGCCGCCACGCTGAAGCCTAGGGGGAACTGACCGACAACCACACTGTCATGATCATAATCCCCTCCTCTTAAGGACGCTCCAGCCCTTCCTTGTTCAGTACTCATTCCCTGCACCTGCCTCCGCTTCCTGCCCCCCGTCCTACAAAATCCAGACACTCACTTTGTTCCGGGCTCTGCACTGGTTCTTGTACCAGGCGAGTCCAGGACCTGGAGCGCCTGGTCCCGTCAAGTTTTTAGTTCCTGTTCCTGTGCCGGTTCCGACCCGGTTCCCGTTTTTAATCCCCTTTTGTCTTCGCCTCGGATGCACTGCGGCTCTGGACTACTGTCTGCTCTCGGATTCCCCCTTGGTCTTATTTCTGGACTGTTTGCCTCAGCCACACCTCCCCCAAACACCAGCGCACCATGGACACGCCCCCCTGTTTTCATTCCCAATTCCTGCATGCCTTTTCCCCTGTGTTTTCCTCACTCTACCCCGGATTGTGTCATCTGCATAGGGTCCGGAAAGAACGCTTGCGTTACACACGCACAACAGTCACGCTACGGCTGTAGCTGAAACTCGTTACTGCGTGGACTGGGGAGGAGAGCCTTGTAAACCGTTACAAAAACAATCTAATCCTCATCTGCAGGAACTGAAGGGGTGAAGACTTGGGCAAGATCAGAGAAATTGCTCTCCGGGTCCTTTTGCACCAGAGCGTGCTAAAAGTAAGTAAAGAGGCCGTTATCGTCAATGGGCTTGATCTTGGTTCCACGTTCAGAGTTTGACAAAACAGGTCTGTTAATAGTTAAATTGTGACCGCTGATCCAAATTCATTTACCATGTATGAAATGGTGGCCAGTTCATAGATGACGGACTGAGATCCCAGTTCCACTTCACTCACCAGCCCTGCAGGAGAGAAGTAGCGCTGAGTCAAGACACCGGCGCTCGGGCTGGGGCTGCACGTCGCCCCACTGAGACTGACCGGCCGACGCCCAGCAGATTCAGCCCCAGTGTCACGCCCCACACTCACCCTCGCAAAAGCCAATACATTCCCAAACCCACTGTTTCACGATCTCAATCCTAACTGAACCCATCACATCCTCACAGGCACCAGATTCCACAGATTCTCACTCCTGTGTCACGATATTAGTTCCCCCTCCTTAAGGGTGCTCCAGCCCCATCACTCAAGACTATTCCATGCACCTGCGCCCTATTCCCTGCCCACCTTAAAAGCCAGGCGCTGACGCTCTTCCGGGCTCTGCTCTGATTTCCATATCGTGCGAGTCCGGGACCAGGAAGCGCCTGGTCCCATTAAGGTTTTAACCTCGGTTCCCGTTCCTGTTCCCCGTCCGCCGGTTCCGACCCGGCCTTCGTGGTTTTTAATTCTTTGTTCTGATGGATCTCCTGGTTTTGGACTTACTCATGTGTTTTTGGATACTCTAAGGATTACTCTTTGGGATTGTTCGCCTCGGCCACGCCTCCCCCGTGCACCAGCGCACCTTGGACACGCCCCCCTGTCTTCAGCCCCGTATTCCTGCATGACGTTTCCCTAGTGTTCCCCCACTCCGTCGGACTGTGTTGTCCGCATAGGGTCCGGAAAGAACTAACCACGTCCCTCTCCCTTCACTATTTAAAGTTCCATCACACACCAAACCTTGCTGACGATTGAAAATCCTCCTTTAGAGTTTTCTAGTGCGCGTTTTTGTCTTGTTGGATTTCCCGGTTTTTGGACGTAACTTTTCCCTTTTGATCTAGTCTCTTGGATTTCGGCTTTTGGATTGTCTCCTCGGTTTGTCTCGGCTCTTTCTGGTTGACTGATCTCTAGCTTCGCCTCTCGACCTTGCTTCTGGATTACGATTTTGGATTGTTTGCCTCTGCATCCCGCAGAATTCATGGCTACGCACAAGATCCCTGAAGAACTACCTGCCGGATCCCTGACACCCAGTAAGTGAATATAAAATTGGCGCACAGATGAAAGGGAGAGACAGGAAGTGTGGGGTACTCTGGTTCAGCTGAATGAGCGCCACCACACACTGTTCATCAACACCATGCATGCCTGCTCACCCCTTGTTCTGTAAAAATGTGAAATGAAACACAACACTTTCTATTTCATGAGCAAACACCAGCTGAAGGTACAGTACGTAGGCTTACAAGACTTTTTTTTTTCAAACTGACCACACAAGAGTCCTCCAATCTCGTAGGTCCACCACTCCAGGCACAACATGAGCATGCTGGGAATGGCCAGGTGGATAAAGGAGCCCCATTCCTGCAGGCACTCTGTGGACCAGCCTGCAGGGGGAGACAGAGAGCCAGGGTACCTCAGCAAACAAACAGGAAGGAAGTTGCCCATTCCATGGCTTGTGAGTTACCCCTACTGTGAGCTAGAAGCTACATGATACAAAGTTAGGAAACAATAAAATAGTCAAACAAAATGTTAGGATATATAGCTGAACGTGTAGAGGTTAAATCAAGGAATTTTATGGCACTAAAAATTGTACAACCCACTAGTAAGGCCTCATTTAGAATATTGTATATGAAAGTGGTCACTGTGTTACAGAAAAGATATTGCTGATCTGCAATCAGTCCAGAGAGGCGCTGGTGGGTTTAAAGGAATGTCCTACACTTGACACTTGGTCTGATTGTAAGAACCAGAACCTTTCAGTCCAGAACAGACAAGATGACAAGAGGACCTGATACAAGTACCCAGATTCCTCAAAGGCACGGAGAGAGGCGACCCCCAGGGGATGTACTCAGCATGAACAGTAAAACACATACCAGGGGACACAAGTGACAAACTATTTGCACCTGCATTTAAGACCGTGAGCAGGTGGCACAAGATGCCCAGCCATGTTGTTGAAGCCAGCTATGGTTTCTTCACCTCAGAGCCATTAATGGCAAACTACCACACAGGCATGACGGCCTGGTGATCTTTCACCATGCATGAACGTCTCCTCCAGGTCTCTCCCAGTCATCCGGGAGTATAGTGTCCAGCGCGAGAATTCGGGGGAACTCACCTGTCCAGGTGGACTGGTGCAGTTTCCTCCAGCGGATGTAGGCGTACAGCAGGATTGCCAGCGAGTACTGGGAGATCATGTTGGCTGCTGCCGACCCGCTGCAATAAACCAGAACACAGCTCAGGCTGCTGTAGCCCTGTTACCTGCACATACAGTGCACTTGTATACTGTATATAGCGCTGTTACATTTAATCCACGTATTTTTCATTTACACCAGTTCCTGGTCCTTGTTCATAGTGGGCAATCTTTCAGAACCCAGAAACGTCCAATTTCACCCCCCGGTACACACAGAGCCTGCTGCAAGGGCACAATTTAAATACCACATTACTTAGTACTTAGCAGTACTTAGTACATAGTAGTTAGCAGTACATAAACACCACATTAGGCACACTGTGTGCAACCAATTTAAAAGGCTGAACAACTGCTGCCTCCTTACTAGCTTGATGTACAGTACCTGCCCTGTGTTGCACACAGAGGCAGGGACGTTCAGCAGGGAGAAGGGGCACTCCGGCACAGTGCCACTGACGGGCAGCTCTACTTACGCCACTCCCAGCTCCAGCACATAGAGAAAGACGTAGTTAATGAGGGCATTTAAGATGTTCCCCAGAGCCCCGGTGACAACCTGGGGAAAGATGATACCCTGCGGGGAAAACACACATTTCAGAGCGAAAAACGTAGAAGGTAAAACTTCGTGAGGTCGCAGAGAACGCAGAAATAGTGAGAAGCCAGTACCTGATTCTGCAGGTATCGGCCTTGCAGCTGATACAGGAACGCTGCCTACGAGAAACAAGCCAAGACATGCAGTAAAGAAACCGAACAGAAACCGCTGACTTGACTGAGATATTTCAGTTCCTTTCAATTAGAATCCCCCCGCTGGTTTCGGGAGCACCAGACAGCTGCTAAACACATGGAAGTTGCCTTGTTTTCCTGGGAAGCAGGAAGTTCCCGCTGAGCTGAGTAGACTGAGCTCTTAAACGAACTCCCGGAGGTACAGAGTCTTAATTAAGTGTCTTAATTAGAGCTTTTCTCTTTTTTTGCCCAGTCGGACTGAAGACTGTCAAAGCTGTTGCGAGTGGACCCTCTCATGGGAGGAGAACAGATACGTTGATCTTCCTATTCATGAGTCGTCTTCCCAGGCTCCACACGCGCCAAACCAGCCCAGAGCCGAGCACTCCGGGCCTGGAGGGGACGGACTACTCTGAGACAACGACACAGCTGGACCTTTTAGCCTTGAGCAGAGAAGACTGGATATAAACATGCAAAATTCTTCAGGGCACGGACAAAGACAAGTCAGTGAAATACAAACCAGGGGGCACAAATGAAAATGTTGTGGAAGTGGATTTAAAACAGACAACGAGAGAAACGTCTTTACACCAAGGCTTGTGGGAGTATGGAACTGGCTACTCGGCCATTTTGTTGCAGATATCCTGGCTTTATCCAAGAAACGTCCTCATAAAGGATCAATGAGCTTCTGACTCCTAAGTGGACTAGTTTGTACCCTGTCTTACATTTCTACGTCCTGTCCTGTGGGTCAAGGGATCGCACTGTTACTTCAGTCAGTCAGTCTTTCAATATTTCAACTTCAGCAGCTACAAGTAGCAGTCAAGCTGAAACCATGAGAATTCTGTCTCTCTGTCTGCTTAATGCTGTTGCTTTTACAACACAGAACTTTACAACTGGGCACTATCATGAGTCTCACAAGGCCATGATGAGATTAGAATAACTACGTCTTTAGAACTATTTTTTCTTTGTGGACTGAAGTTGACTTTCAGCAGCCGACTTCGAGATCAATCACGCAGAGGGGGCGTGACAGCTTCCAAAGTTCAGAATTCCTCTAAGTCTCCGTAACTGATGTAAGAAGTCTGGCAATGGCTTTGCTGTGTTCGTAAAGGCCAGTTCTGCAGAGCCAGCCCTGTTTCTCTGGTGGGAACCCGGTAGTGCGGCTCATCTGCTTCCCAGACAGAGGCTCATCGGTTCTGTACTCACCGGAAGAGCAGGCATAAATATCTTCACGTAGAGCTGCGACAGCCTGAGAGAGAGAGAATAACAGAGGGCTGAGGGAGCAGGTCCACACACATTTGGAAATGTCTGTCCTGTTCCAGCGTTACAAAAGGACAGACCTTCCTTAGAATTGAATGAGCTGAGGGGAGTGTGTGCGTGTGCGCATATTAATAGATGCCATTTAAATATTCTGTCTAGGCAAAGGTAAATAAAGACCCCAAAGTGAAGCAGGGGCTATACACTTCCCTGAAAAGAAAGACGTTCAGACTTCGGTCTGAATTTTACTTTAACGTGAGCGTCTTAAACCGTGAACTGTTGCTCGGGGAGGCTGCCACCAGATTCACAGCTCCAGCTGCTGACTGCATCCCAGAGAAAGAGGTCTCGAGCCCTTCCCCCTTGAGGAAAGTAACGGCTGGCAGTAGGAGTGTCTCAACAGGCAGACAGGGGCAGGGGGCGGAGGTGAACACATTTTCTGCTCCACTCCTTCAGAAATATTTATGCAACTGACACAGGAGAACTGCGGTGAACCTGGATGAGTCTGATGAGTGCTCAGGAGTGCTCATTCTCATCCGTCCTGCCAGTGTACAGTGCGCAGGGCTTCTTTGTCTCGTCTCCTGCAGTGTGAGCAGAAGCTGGGCAGGTGCCCCCTCCCCCCCCTCTGACCTGGCCACCTCTGGCCGCTGCCTCACGGCCAGCAGGATGGGCTCGGTGTTGATCAGGAGGGCCCAGCAGGGACAGCAGGCCAGCAGCAAGATGAGGATCGCTCTCTGCAAGATGACTCCCACACGCTTCAGGTTCCCACTGCCATACGTCTGCAGAGCAAGCAGGCCGACAGAATATAGGTGGGCAGTGGATTAGGCTGGGGGGGGTTGGTTATGAAGTGCTGTCTGGTTTGAAGTTGATTAAGTATCTGTTTTTATTGGCATTCGGTCTGTAACCCTCCTGGAGACAAAAAGGGACACAAGAGAAACTAAGAGGAAAAGCGAAGCAAAAGTGCCACTTCTTCACAGCGAGAGCAGGGCGGGGTCGGACACTGAGACGTTCCCCGGTCTCACAGGGAATCCATCCATGTATAATCCAAAAGCCCGGTTCTTTTTCCTGGTAAGGATCACAGCAGGACAGAGCCTGTCCTGGAATCACAGGGCTCAAGGTGGGACTGGGTGGCCAGTGATGCCCTGTCTTCAGTTCAGTTCAGTTGTCATATGCGTAAGTAATAATAATAACGATGATAATAATAATAATAATAATAATAATAATAATAATAATAATAAATCCTTACACCTAGTGCTTTTCTGGACGCTCCACTCAGGTAACACCCCTACTGTTTTCGAGAAACGCCCTGGGATTTTTAATGACCAGAGAGTCAGGACCTCAGTTTTATGTCTCATCCAAAGGACAGCGCCTTTTTACAGTACAGTGTCCCCGTCACTATACTGGGGCATTAGGACCCTCACTGTCATGCCCAGTACACCTAGAGGGCGCTCTACTTCTCTCCTGTTCCTAGTTCCCTGTGCTTATTCATATCTTTCTGGTGTGTCTTGTTGTGTAGCCTATTTACTTCCTGCTTCTGCTCTGCTCCTTTGCTCACCATTGAGGTTCGGATGTCCTGAAACCCTCCAAGCACCAGGTCGCCCCACATCCGCTACCTGAGGGCACAGGTTTCTATACGGCATTTCCTGAATGGCTGAGCCCGGGCTTGCCCCTGTCTCGCCGCTACGCATAGTGTCTTTTTCGCTCTCCTGCCATTCCACGGTTCATCCTCTCCGACATCCGTGACACTCACAGACCGCAGGGTGAGCACGACTTTTGGCCCCACTAACACCTCTTCCAGGAGCAGCCTTAGTTTTTCCCAGGAGGTCTCCCATCCAGGTGCTGACCAGGCTCACACCTGCTGAGCTCCAGTGGGTCACCAGGTGATATGGCTGCAGGCTTACATGCAAATAAGCATTTCAAGTGTTACGAAATGCTTACTTGCATGTGTGCTCCAATACAAAGATGTTAAAAGGAATCACCGAAAACATCCACACAGAACAGCAGTTGCAACAGCAAGTTAAATAACAAGCAGCTTTAAAAAAAGTCAGACAAAGAGTACGAGGGAAAAAAAACATCAGTGTGAGCCAGTGGTAGGGGTAGAGTTCAGTAATCTGACAGCCTGTGGGAAGAAACTGTCTCTGAGTCTGGACGTTCGTGCCTTTATGCTCCTATAACCCTCACCAGAGAGGAGGAGGGAGAAAAGTGAGAAACCAGGATGATCCTTAACGATACTTCCAGCCTTCCTGAGACAGCGAGTAGTAACAATGTCTGAAATACAGGGGAGCTGTACTCCAGTGATGGACTGGGCTGACGTGATCACCCCCTGTAACAACAAGCTGCTGCCAAACCACACTGTGATCCCACACTCTCAATAGCACACCTGTAAAGTGTGGTAAGGACAGTTGAAGATACACCAGATTGTTTCAGCTGTCTGAGGAAGTAAAGGCGCTGTTGTGCCTTCTTTGTAGCTGCAGTTACATGCTGGGACCACGTTAGATCATTAGTGATGAAGGTACCCAGGAACTTGAAGCTGCTAACTATCTCTACACTGCCCCATTGATGTGAACAGAGGTGTGGTCAGCACCCTGCTTTCTGAAATCAATGACCAGCTCTTTGGTTTTTGCCTGAAGTTGAGGGAGAGATGACTGTCAAGGCACCACTCCACCAGGTTCCTGACCTCATCCCTGTAGGCTGTCTCATCATTCCCTGTGAATCGGCCAATGGTGGTTGAGTCATTGGCACCTGTGGCGCAGTCAATGATTATCGATCCAATGTTCACAAACACTTGTCGATCATAAACAATTGCTGAAAAGACTCACTGGGTACAAAAAGCCCACAACACGAAACAGACAGAGACGTACAGACGGTACGTTGCCGTACAGATTCCTCAGCCAACAAGAAAGATTCCTCTCATCTGAAACCCTGCTCGAAGTTTCTTTCCTCTCACACCCCCCTGCCTGGACTGGAGTGATGTGTTCTCTCTTGATGGGCAGGAGAGGAGAATTTCCTCCCCAGGCCTCAGGCCTCAGGGCTCCGGGCTCCTCTGAATCTTTAAGACCCCCCCTCCCCACCAGGAACACAATCTCTCAGCAGTGCACATAAGAGAAAGGCAGTGAAGAGTCTTCACACCTCATGTGCCCCAAGGTTTATCAGAAGGAGCAGAAGCTCGGAAGAAACAAGTCTGACTTCTTGGAAAAGGTCAGAGGATTAAAACCATCTCCTACCTGAGATATTAACGTGTCACAGGCAGATGCTAATCCACTTCCTATTGAGATCCCCATCACATTTATGGCCTGAAAGACAAGGAGCGTGCAAACGTTAAATATTTGCAGTCAGTGCAAAGTGATCACGACACTGTGGCTAGCAGAACAGCCTTCATGCCAGAATGAGGTGTCTTAGAAATGTGCGCTAAGCAGGCTGATAAGAGGTCAAATGAGCTCTTCCTTGGTCAGCACTCCTTCTGGAACACTTCTGCATGCTTTCCATCCCGGGGATGACATTGGAGTTGAGGACACCGTAGATCCCTTGGCATTGTGCATGAGAGAAAGAGAGAAACATACAGGAGGCGTCCTGGCTACAGTCCACTCTGGTCTTGTACAGCCTTACTCCTCCTCCTACTCAGCTGGTGCAGAGGGGCTACTGGGGGTCTCCCATGGGGGGCTGCAATTCAGCGATGGGGAAGTGGGACACCGCATATGTAAAGAGCTTTGGGATGCTCGGTGATGAAATGCAATGAATCAATTGATATTTTATCCTAGTTAAAAAAAGCACAAAAACGCGCTGTGAATGCACGAAAGGACAAGGTCTTGCTGGACTGCTCGCGTCTGTGCAGCGTTAAAACTCACCGCGATGGCCAGGGCCACACCAGCCAGCTCGGTCTTCCCCAGATGGCCGCAGAAAACCGTGCTGACGAAGCTGATGAGAAAAATCATGAGCTGAGAGATCATCTGGAAGAAAACATAAGAATGGAAAACCGTCACCGAAAGCCCACTCTGCTGCACCTCTAATGGTCTGTAGATTCAGACAGTTCTCCTAAAACAGCAGAAACCCCACACTGATTTCTGAAAGGATCACCCTCCCTTTGGGGAGTTCATCAGTGACAAACCCCATGTTCAAGAAATTCCAAAAAGGCCTTTTGGAAATCCAAATTGTGATCTACACATAATAAACCCAGTCTAGCCATCTTCAAAGCAGGCTAGGCAGTCCCTGGGAGTGTTACCTTTCAGAGAAAATGCGTTTTAGTCCAATTTAGAAAGAAAACAGGTTTGTTCCAAGAAAAGAGCAGGAATTAATCGGTCCCTGCGAAAAAGTGGCAATATGTTGTTTCATTTAAATAGACTTAATAATCTGAGTGAAAGTGCTGTTTGTTTCTCAGGTAATATAGGACGGTGCCAATTTAAAATAGCCTGAGAAGTCAATTTATTAAAATGTTTTAAGCCATTCAGGTTTTCATGATTTAACTACAGTGATTAACACACAGATCCCACTCAGCGTACACACAGGCTGTGAACTAACAGACAGCAAATGATGAAAAGTTAAACGGGTGAGTTTGATTAACGTTAGTGATGTTTAACCTCTATAGCATATGTTGTATTTTTGAATGTGACTGTTTACCTGTCAGTAGTGAGGGTAGTATTGCAAACAATTGTCCGATTGTATTTGTTTCCAGAGAGAGGTGTTAACAGGGACAGAACATGTTCCCATCAAGCCAGTAAATTTCTAGTGGTGTGAGAACAGGTATTCAGTCCCTGGTGTTACAGTGGCATGCAAATGCCTCAGTACAAGATCAACATTTAATTAACACTGTTCATGCGTTCTACTTTAAAAACTAAATAGAGATATTTGCATGTCTGAAGTATTTTAAAGCAGGATTGAGAAATACCTGCTGGAAATGCTGCTGCATTTTCTACATCCTCCCAATTTAAAAAAAAGCTTAGCCCCGCTCTGGGTCTCTGTGGTTCAGGGCCTCACCTGGCAGACAATGGGCACAATGCAGGGTACATCCTGGACAGGACAGCAGTCCATCGCGGGACACACACGTCAGGGGGGACAGTTGACCTGGACAGTGTGTGTTTGGGATGACAGGGGGAACATGCAAACTCCACACGGAACGTGCTCCACAATTGAACAGACCTCTCATGACCTGTGAGGCAGTAGTTCTGCGGTGCTCCCCTACAGTTACTAAAGCTTTTAAAAAACGAGTCTCACACCAAGGGCTAGAACGCCAAGGAAGAATGAGAGCTGGACAGACGCTGGTCACCCCTGTGGTTTTAAAATGATTAAAACGGGTTAACTGCAGAAGGCGACCTGGTGTTCTTCATGCCTGCGAGGTTATCTCATGCATTGCAACCGCCCTGTAACTCGCAAAGTTTCTATTTCTTATTAACAATACAAGTTGTGTCAGGCAAACCAGACCGAAGAGGATATTTATGACGTGCTGCATTTTCGTACAGCCCTGATTCAGTTTTTTTTTTTAAATATTTTGTGTGACGCTTTTCTTGTCCGTTATGTGACCGTTAATACAAGAGTCATCGTCTCCTGATACGCGGACACTTGGGATCCTGTAGGAGCTTGTAAACGTCTACAGTGAAAGAAAGGCAATATGACATACAAATATGAAATTATATTTAATACTGTCTTGGGAATTTTAAATTTAGACTCGTATCCCACAAACCTCGCGGTAGACGACGCCTCTCCAGAACCACTCAATCCCTCGTTTATTTCCCGTTATTTCTAATAATATACCACTCGGGTACTCCGTGTCCCCAAGCTGCGACGCTTCACAAGATATCGAAACCGCGATTGTCCTTGGAAAACAGGTAGATTTTACTAGGGTGGAGTGGCAGTAAGGTATGGACGTACTGTATGGAAGCCCGTTTCTGCCAGGGAGTAAAAAAAAACGCGCTATGGTATCTCAGAATTGCGACTAATTAACTCAGAATTGCCACTTAGTATTTCAGAATTGCCACTTAGTATCTCAGAATTGCAACTTAGTATCTCAGAATTCCGACTTTGTATCTCAGAATTGAGACATAGTAACTCAGAATTCCGACTTAAAAACTCAGAATTACCACTTTATATCTCGTAATTGCGACTTTATATCTCACATTTGCGACTTCGAAATAGCCCATATTTCATTGTCTGTCCTTTTGTTATTGTAACGGATTCGGGTTCTAGGGCTTGTGCCCTCGCCGCTCCCACCCTAGTCCGGGCCTCACTGCGTGGGCTCGAACCCAGGTCCTGCCAGCTGAGGTAAAGAACACTTTCTTTAGACTTTCTTTAGCCCCGGCGGCCAGCATCCCTGTTATGCGCAGGGGAGGGCGGTGCAGTCACCACACTGCAACCAGATCGTACAACCTGTACGTCAGCCGTTCCGTTACACTAAATTCATGAATCGTACAGGATCATAGGATCTATAGGCCTGAAGACTTGTCTTGTACAGTGCCCTGATAAAAATCAAATTAATTACACACATTTTTATAGAATCCTATTTCCACCAGTGAGCCTTCCATAGTACCCGGATGGAATAGTGGACGGTGGGCTTTTAAAAAAAGTTTTTGTTTAAACACCAGGAAGACAACAACGGAGACAGAAGATGAAATAAGATACAGAAATAGACACTTCACATCCAGAGGAATTCACAATTATAAAAGCTGAAACTTACACTTTTTACATATTTCCATTGTATGTCCTTTTTTTACTTACAAAAGAAGGTCTTTTCTCTTGCTCAGCTGGCAAGACCTGGGTTCGAGCCCACGCAGTGAGTCACGAAGTAGGGTGGGAGCGGCGAGGGCACAAGCCCTAGAACCCGAATCCGTTACAATAACAAAAGGACAGACAATGAAATATGGGCTATTTCGAAGTCGCAAATGTGAGATATAAAGTCGCAATTCCGAGATACTAAGTCGGAATTCTGAGATGCTAAGTCGCAATTCTGAGATATCATAGCGCGTTTTTTTTTTACTACACAGCGGAAACGGGCTTCCATAGGGAGGAATGGGGTGTATGGAAATATAACTTCATAAATGTAAAGTTGTAGGTTCGAATCCCGCGTGGAGCTGTAACCATTGAACTACATACTTCAGCCGACTCAAGAAACACGCTCGGGTGTGAAAATGAGTCTTCTGGTGATCATTATAAACGAGAATCTGTTCTAATGTGACTTGTCTGGTTAAATACAGGTTCGTTATTCTTACCATGATGATGCCTCCGAGTGCGGTTTTAAAATAGCGTAGTAAACTCGCAGTAACTGGATACTGTCTCGACGTATTTACCACGTGTGGACGGCTAAAGGGATATGTTTCCTCTAGTAGGATCGGATCAGCATTAAAGAAGACTGCAATCCTGCAGTTCGGTACACATACTGTCTAGGAATGTCATCGCTTGGGCACTGAGCTCTTTACTTTAAAAGTAAAATGCACGCAGAGCGGTCAGTCTCACCACGGGTCCGGCTAATCTTAAAATGTGAACCAGCTCGTCCTTGTAGTTGACGGGAATCCACTGTCGCAGGCGGCGGAGGCAGCCGGTGAAGACCGAGCAACAACTTGAGGCAGACATCCCGGGCGCGCTGTCGCGGTGAACCTGCGGCGCTGGGTCTCCGGTCCGAATCCCGTCCATTTCCATTTCCCTGCGCCCGGGGGAGGGCACCGCTCTGGACAGAGGCCGGGGAGCTGCGGGTCTGAGCACCGGTGGGAACAGGTGGGTTACGGAGCAGAGCAGGAAGGCTCTTCTGACAACACTCCCACACACCGCTGACTGCCGCGGGTGTAAGCGGAGGTGGGTTACACCGGCTCCGCTCTCTACAGCGGGTCACAGCACTGACCCCCCGATCCTGACGTCATTTTACACCCACCCCCCCCTCGACGCAGTATTATGAAATCGAAGCTCGTTTCTTGCAGCCGTCCCGTTGGCCATCTGTGGGGTTGTCGAAGCCGGGAGGGAGAAAAACTCGAAAATCACGTGGAACAAACTCTGAACACGCATAGAGATGTGTATGCTGGCGAGTGCAGTCTCATCTACCATAGCTCTTGTGAATGTAAGCCAAATACATGTTTTTTGATCTAGAATGTTCGAAATAATTTTGGTAACATACGAGAAAGGGGTACTGTTACAGATTGCCCATTATGAATGAATAATTCTTTGTGTAAGAAGTTGTCATCTAATACTGTTTGACTATTATTTCGACGCGCTCCAGTGTCTCTGGTTGGCAGACACCCCTTCAGGAACTGCCCGTCCCGCCATTGGCCACGGTTGGTTGGAACCTCAAGCCAAGCACGAGTGGTCAGACGTTGGCAAACTATAGTCTGACCGCTTTTTCAGGCAGTGGGGTTGAGTCCCCGTCTGACCTTTTTTAACCTGAAGTGGGAGACCGGTGTTAAAACATCGGGAAGGCCATTAACAAGAGACTGGTCCTACTAGTTACTTTGGCTGCAATAAAGCGTTACGCGAATATGCAAATCTCTGACATCCCAGGTGTTTATGTTAATGAATAACCAAGTGATCATTACAGTGATCTTTACACCTCTTAACCGGTTAAACAGTGGAGTTTAACCACCAAAGGGAGGAGCCCTTTGACGGGTGAGCTGTAATCCGCTTGATAAAGCAGCCGCTATGTTGCAGAGACAATAACAGGCGTATTAAATGCAGTAGAAACAGGCACTAGGACATCATACCGGCCCTTCGTCGAAGGAGAGGTTGATAATTGACAGTACGGTGAGTCCTTGTGTAATGGTTTATGCACCGGTATCAGAGCGCCTGACCGGAGGTCAAGGGCGCCGTGCATGGTCACGTGATCACCCGAAAACCCAAGGTGCTATATCTCAGGAATGAGCGAGGCACTGACGAGGTGGGTTTCAGCGTTTGTGCTGTTCGTGGGGGGAGCACGGAGCCTGATGAGAAATGTAGTTGGCACAGAACAGCCCTCCAAATGCAAACGAATTTTAAAATTCCTGCGCGATTCACGACAGGCACGGTAGATGGCGCACGTTACCCAGTTATATTTTTGGAACAAGTAATACGTTGTGTTCTCTTCTTTTTTTCAGCATGGAATAAACCTATTGTTCCTTTGCAGCCTACGCATGCTGACGCAGCTACCCACCTGAACTACTACAGTTATATTTTTTTCAACGGCCGATAATTCAATGTTTTTTCCTCGGTTTTTTTGGCCTGTCCTCACCCAGAAGAGAATAAAAAGCAGAGAATAAAAAGCAGTGAATGTGTGAGGCGCCGTATTACAGGTCCAGCGGTGCTCACTCTCGGCCCTGCCTTGCTGTCGCGGTAAAGTATTTGTATTATGTTTTTCATTTACATTTATTTGTATTAAGTACGTATTAAGTAGCCAGCAGCTATGTCAACGTGCCACGCACAACTGTCAGCCCACTGTCACTCAGCAGGTGTGAGCCTGGTCAGTACCTGTATGGGAGACCTCCTGGGAAAAACCAAGGTTGCTGCTGGAAGAGGTGTTAGTGGGGCCAGCAGGGGGCGCTCACCCTGCACTCTGTGTGGGTCCTAATGCCCCAGTATAGTGACAGGGACACTATACTGTAAACAGGTGCTGTCCTTTGGGTGAGACATAAAACCGAGGTCCTGACTCTCTGTGGTCATTAAAAATCCCAGGGCGTTTAGGGGTGTAACCCCGGTGTCCTGGCCAAATTTCCAATTGGCCCTTACCAATCATGGCCCCCTAATAATCCCCATCTCTGAACTGGCTTCATCACTCTGCTCTCCTCCCCACTGAGAGCTGGTGTGTGGGGAGAGGACTGGTGCATCATCCAGGTGGGGCTGCACACTGGTGGTGGTGGAGGGGATCCCCATTACCTGTAAACTCTTTGAGTGGAGTGTCCAGAAAAGCACCATATGAATGCAAGAAATTATTATTATATAGAACTCAATATGTTTATATTATAGTGCAGAGTGCAGGAATTATTAAGTATTTTAACTCTCCCATAATCTGTGGAATTGTTATTTGACAATTATTTAAGCAAGTAGGGACCAGTTCCGTATCTGACTGGTACTGGCCGGTAACGGCTGGAATCACTCCGGCCCCAGTACTGACCAGGTCCAGCTGGTCCGAGGGCTGATTCACAGTGTTCATGTGGGATTGTCACTGTGTATAAACTCCTCCAACCACTTTGCCCTTAATAATAATAATAATAATAATAATAATTGCTCACACTTATATAGCGCTTTTCTGGACACTCCACTCAAAGCACTTTACAGGTAATGGGGATCCCCCCCACCACCATCATCAGTGTGCTGCAGCATCCACCTGGAGCGCCAGAACACTCCCCACACACCAGCTCTCAGTGGGGAGGAGAGCAGAGTGATGTAGCCAATTCATAGAGGGGGATTATGAGGAGGCCATGATTGGTAAGGGCCAATTGGAAATTTTGGCCAGGACACCCCTACTGGGATTTTTAATGACCACAGGGAGTCAGGACCTTGGTTTTACGTCTCATCCAAAGAACGGCGCCTGTTTACAGTATAGTGTCCCTGTCACTATACTGGGGCATTAGGACCCACACAGAGTGCAGGGTGAGCGCCCCCTGCTGGCCCCTCTAACACCTCTTCCAGCTGCAACCTTAGTTTTTCCCAGGAGGCCTCCCATCCAGGTACTGACCAGGCTCACACCTGCTGAGCTCCAGTGGGCTGATGGTTATGTGCTGCAGGGTGACATGTAACTTAAGCTGTCGGTCTGCCCCTGACTCAGTTTCAGCATCCATTAGTGTTTTCATTAGCTGTGCGGGTTACACTTTGAAAGGAAGGGGGGAGGAAGGTAGTTACATGTGTGTCTACTTCTTTTTTTTAAAATTTTAATTTTAGAGAACAAAACAAAACCATTTGACATATGAACAACCATTATTCAGCCTTACATCACAGGCACAGATTCCTCTTTGTTCTCCTATTTGTTTTACAATTATATACGTTTTTAACAAAATTATATCCATTCAAAAGAAGGAAGATGTGTACATTTATGAATATGAAAAGGGAGAAGACTATAGAAATGTATCGTATTAAATTGCAGTTGTTTTGTATCTCAACAAAATCTGACCTTAAAGGTTTAATGTACTGAACCCATCTAGACCAATATTTGACATTTTTTTTCATTTGTCATTTTAGTGAAAATGTTATTTTTTCCATTATATATATATTTCCTTTATTAATTCAATCCAATCATTTATTGTTGGTAGAGAAGCCATGTTCTGGTTATAGCTTTCTTCCCTGCTGATATAAGGATTCCAAACACATTTTCATCACTTCCGTTCCAAACAAAATCCAGTTTAGCAAAATATAAAGCCTCAAATGTAAAGGGCACATTCCTTTCAAGTATAGTTTCCAGGCCCTCATGTAACTCCTTCCAGAAAAGCCTTATTTTAGGGCAGTTTCAGAATATATGCCAATGATCACCTTGGTTTCCACATGTGTGTCTATTTCATCTGCAGGTCCTGTGATCAGGGTGTTGGAAGCATGTTGCTGCTCCTTGACCAGTCCGGTGAAGAGCACCCTGTCACGGACGTCCAAAGGGACTAACCGTGGGGAGCAGGAGAGCGGAAAAAGACCCATATGCGTAGCGGCGAGACGGGAAAAAGGCCCGGGCTCATAGTGCAAAGAGTTCAGGAATGCCGTATAGAAACCTATGCCCTCAGGGAGCGGACGTGGGGCGCCCTGGTGCTAGGCGGGTCTCAGGACATCCGAACGTCAATGCTGAGCGAGGACAGAATGCAAGACCCGGAAAAATAAAGCCCAAGGGAAAGAGAGGGACCGGAAGGACAGCAGACCGGAAACTAGGGACAGGACAGAGAAGGAGTGCCCTCTGGCTGCAGAGGGCGTGACACACCCAGGTTCCGATCCGGAGCTCAAGGGACTGTCAGGCTGAAGGAGCTGGCACTTTGTCATGCTGGGGCTCAGAAACCTGATACAGGCCCTCAAAACTCTCGGAGTTCCCCCACAGAGTCAACCCAGCGACCCCCTTCAGACCGGACGGTGACATATGAAGCAGAGGGCACTACATGCAAGCACATCAAAACCAAGAACGGGAGACACAAGGAGGGGCGGGGGCGTGGAACAAGCTATCCAGCCTGTCGAGGACGATACCTTGGCTGATGCCAAGAAGCAGCTGGCCGTGGTCCTGGGGTCAAGCCCCTCCTCACTCTCTGTACTGGCTGCATGGCCACTCCTCTTGTCTGTAGCCTTGCCTGTGTGCCTGCTGTATGCAAACACCTGTAACCAGGCTCTGCTCTGACTTACAAGTGACCGTGCCCACCGAGGTGAACGCGCTCTGGAACGAACTGTGAAAGGCCTAAGGAAAAACACCACAAATGTCTAATAATAATATAATAATGTTGCTTTATTAGCCCTATACAATTTCTTGCATTAGGAACTATCTTTTCACACACCCCAGCTTGCTCTCCATGAGACACACACAGACAGGGAGAGAAGCTGGGGGTCAGAGCGCAGGGTCAGCCATTGTACAGCACCCCTGGAGCAGTTGGGGTGAAGGGCCTTGCTCAGGGGCCCAACGGAGTAGGATTCCTCTGCTGGCTGCGGGATTTGAACCGGCAACCTTCCAGCTGCAGGCGCAGATCCTGAGCCACAGAGCCACCGCTCCGCCCGCTCCGTTAATATTGAAAACCAGATGAGTGAATTGACCCAGGCGGCATGTCTTTGGACGGCGTTAGGATACCAGGGTGAGCTATCCCAAGTTTGCGGACTTTTTCAATTGTCGTTTCCCTTGCCGGAGCACTAGGTGGCGCTGCAGAGCCGCCCAACCGCGCTGTAGCCGAGCTGAACAACTAGTGCAGTTGCATTCCTCAACAGACAGCGACGGACGAGGCAGCCGGGCGGGCGGTCTGGGAGCTCCGCGTTTAGGGGAAACAAGGCGAGCGGGCGTCTGGGTTTCGCACAAGCGCCTCACATTTTTATTTTTTGGGGGAGGGGGGGGGGCTCCAACGCACGAGGAATATCGGGGAATCCGCCCGGGGAGGAGACGCGATGTCGGAGTTCCTGGTGAATCTGCTCGGGGAGCGGCTCGTCAACGGCGAGAAAGCCGAGGTGGACGTGCAGGCGCTGGGCAGCAAGCTGTCGCTCGTCGGGCTGTATTTCGGCTGCAGCCTGAACGGCCCCTGCAAGCAGTTCAACGCCAGCCTCGGCGACTTCTACAGCAAGTTCAAAACCTCCTCGGAGCACAGAGACAAGCTGGAGATTGTCTTCGTCTCGTCCGACCAGGACCAGAAACACTGGCAGGAGTTTCTGCAGGAGATGCAGTGGCCGGCGCTGCCTCTGAAAGAGAGACACAGGAAGGTAAGCGAGCGGCCACGGAGCTCGCCTCGGCGGCGCTCACACGCAACTTTCGCCGCTGCCCACTTCGCGGTGCGGGGGGGGGGAGCGATGTGCTTTTCTCCCCCCCAGTCTGTGGATTTTCTCCCTCCGCTTTGCCGAGATCCCTTACACTCCCCTTCCCAATGGGAGCCACGCAGGTGTGCGATCTCAAAGCCCCCTCGACTTGTGACTTGAGACGGGGCTCAAAGTCGCTTGCTGCGCTGACCATGTGAGAGGCGAGCGAGCATTTTTTAAAGTACTGGAGCAAGTGTTAGGAATCTTTCATTCGTAGGCCTAATGGCCTGAGACTGTTTTTTACAGTTATGTTTACAGTGTTTACCGTTTTCTTACTATGTGGGGGGGGGGGGATTTTCAGCTGAACTATCGGGTCTGGCAGTGGCGATCTGATGGATCAAATTGACAAAAGTAATTAAATCCTCCTGGTAGTGCGGTCGAGCCACAGTGCAGGCAAGCAATTATCCAGATAGGCTTCGGGCGGCACACGTTTGACTGACAGACGCGCAGAGAGGGGTTTTAACCTTTGTACACTGTTACAGCAACCGGACTCTTCGTTGCAATTCGTAGGCAATTGTTTTTTTTAAAAAAAAGGTCGCCTTTTAAATTGATCATTTTACCCCCCTACTTTCTTTAGCCGGCAGTCCAGGAGGTCCGGTCACTTGAACATGCAGGAGTGATGGTTGTGTGTCGGTTTTAACTTCACGAAATGAAGTGGAGGTTGCCGTCTGTTTGATTTAGAAAACGCACCTTTTAAAACATGAGTTTTTATGTAAAGGAGATGGCTTGTAAAGGCCGCGGTGTGCTCTGCAATACAGCTCTGACGGCGTAGCTTAAGTGTCCCTGTGTGAGAGTTTATATTGGTGTAGTGTCATAAATGCAAATCGTCTGTAGGTCTCAGAAATACCATTTTTCGGCCCTACGCGCAGAGCAACTGTATGAGTTCGTTTCTGACCATTGGGATTCGCAGTTTCTTACTCTGTGGGAACCTGGAGATTTTCGCCTGTCCCTTCATGTAGCCGCGGGAGGTGATTTTATGTCCTAATCGATCTGAAGTAACACCAATCGATAAGGACCCTACGGGCACGGCGGCAGGGAAGAGGTTGTGGGGAGAAAAAAAAACGGGCAGAGGGAACGTGGACGCGCCGGACCACGAACTCCGGGGTGTGGAAACTTCGCAAAAATAAACTTATAAATGAGTAAAGTGTGATTCACAAGGGGAAAGCGACGTCGGAATAACTCCTTTCTCCCGCAGCCGCCTTGCGCCTCAGGGCGGCCCGACGATGAGGTTTCGCCCGGATCCGCGACGTCACGGCCGGGCCCAGTTCTTAATGTTGTCCGGTACAGTTCAGCTCGCAGTCAACCAGTACATGACGGGTGCTTTGATTTTACTACACTGATATTTGGTTTTGTGATTATTATACAAGCACGGATGAGAAGGAAATAATTGTGAATTAGGCCTACGAGGATAAATTCGTTTTTAATAACGGGCTTCAAATTGAGAGGATTTCAAAAGACTTTCTCTGCTGTGAAAAGTAAAGGAATTAAGACTGGGCACATCTGAATTTGTCCTCCATTTAGGGACTCATTTCACGAATAATATATTATTTAATCTATGTAGTTGTACCCAGATAGTTTAAAAATAAAATACCGAAGTATATGAATCGATTTTGAGTTAAAGCAGGTTTCGTCAAAAATATCCTCTCGCGGTGAAAATGAATAATGTGGTTTTGGTCAGAAATAAGATTTTTTTTTGTGGCACATTCATTGCCATAAAAATGTCTGTGTAGTTTTAATGTTTGTCTTATAGGGCTGTAGGAATGTAAACTACCTGCAACTTTGTTGGAAAAATCTCCTGTTTTCGGAGAAAAATAGATGTTATGACCCCGGAGTGCTACAGTAGCAGTCCGAGCCCGGGTGAGGCCGGACTGCGGGCCGGGAGTCTCGCCGGTATCGGAGCCGGTACTGAGTGAACCGAGCCGGGCAGATGCTTCTGCTGACGCGCAGGTCAGCGAAGCGACGGCCTCTTCTACCGCAGTGCAATATTTTACTAGCTCAGTCCTGTGTGAAGAGAGGTTAATGTGCTTGTATATATTTTAAATAGAAATAATCTCTCCCACGTACCATAAATATGATGATGATTATTATTATTATTATAACTCAAAGGCTCGGCTTTCCGTTCTCTAGCAATTCATGCCGTGCGGGAAACGGAAATCACTGCTGCCTTTTCTCCATACAGTTATTCCTCAGGCTGGGGGGGTGATTCGCCAACGACCCTTTAAGAAGACGGCGCAGCCCTGTGAGTTGGGCCCGTCACCGCTGTTGGCTAGTGGGGTTTTTTTGTGTCATGAAAGGACTCTGGTTTCACCTCCTAAAGCCGAGTCTCCATCGAGCCCGAACACTGTAATGGACTCCAGACGTCAGTCCGTGCCTCTAGAGCGTTTGGAAGGTTATGTTCCCAAAAAACAGTGGGATAATTTTAACCCCCCCACCCCCAAGTAGCACTGAGAATTTGCTATTGGAATCCAGGATGCTCATCAGACCCTAGCTGTGCACACATGTGTACTGGCAGCCTGTATCTAAACTGGTTAATTCCCTACTGCCTGCTTGGATAATCGAGTATCTAAAAATCCGGGAGAAGTGTCACGGAGGAGTGAGCTTTAATGAACTATTTTTCAACACCTCGTGTTTTGCTTAAACTTTACCAGTAATGTTCCCACAGGAGACAAAGTCACTCCTTGCCCTAAGTGTTTTGGAGCTGTGAGGCGAAATAAAACAGACCTGAAAACATTTAACGTTTGTTTCTGCCAGGAGCGGGCAGCAGTACTGTATGTACTGCGTGTGCACATATACAGTCTATACTGTACGTATCCAGGTCTTTACATGAATCTGTACAATATATAGCATAACAACATCACTTTATTGGCCATATACAATTTCTTGCATTAGGAATTTGTCTTTTCACAGACCCCAGCTTGCTCTCCATGAGACACACAGACAGGGAGAGAAGCTGGGGGTCAGAGCGCAGGGTCAGCCATTTATACAGCACCCCTGGAGCAGTTGGGGTGAAGGGCCTTGCTCAGGGGCCCAACGGAGTATGATTCCTCTGCCGGCCGCGGGATTTGAACCGGCAACCTCCCAGCCACAGGTGCAGATCCTGAGCCACAGAGCCACCGCTCTGAATTTCTCCCCCTATGGCTTGGGTTAGCGGTCTGCTTCTGCCTGTGTGTGACACTGGCTTGTGATGTGCCAGGTGTCGGCTGTCTCTGTGCGCGGTGGCAGAGAGCTGGAGGGGTCTTCAGCGCCCGGGCAGGGATGGGTGCCGTGCTCCGATTGTCCTCATTCCTGCTGGTTGGCACCGTTCAGGGCAGATCTGCGCTGCTGTCACCTTGGCACACCTGGGCGCGGCTCCAGCGCTGAGCTTGTCGCGTGCGCGTGTGTGTGTGTGTGCGAGTTTGAGCTTAGTCTTGACAGGCCACAGCCATTATCCTCTCCTCACGGTAAATAGAAAATATAAAGTAAATTTCAGCCCATGGCCAGAGTTTCCCAAAGAACATATTCTGCTCTAAGGTGTCTATAAAACAATCCGTGTGTAGGATTTTCTTACTGGATTTTCCAATTGAAACTAACCCTGTATCCAACACACAGCTCTGATGCTCTTCCTTTGTTGCCATTTGCCGAGTGTTTTTGTGCCTGTCACTGAGTGGAATGCATTTTCAGCAGCCTTCCTCAGTGGTTTGTGATATATTTTAAAAATATGATTGTGTTGACATGCAAGGGCTTTTCCTCGCTGGTCTCTGTGGCTCTGCAGGAGAGCAGTTTCCCGATGGCTGAGGGGTGATTGGGACAGAGCTGGCCTGCAGCTCGTGGGCGCTGGCGCGCTCTTCGTCCTCTTCTGCGATCCGGGTGGATCCCTGGCTGTCTCCTGGCCCTGGTGTGCCTGCCCTAGTCAGCTGACGGTCCCAGCTGTTCCCTTTGCGAGGGGCGCGGACTGGCTCCGTTTTACGATCCCGGGACAACTGTCATAAACTGACCCGACCGCTGTCTCTCCTACCCCCCCCCTCCGAGTTCTCTCCGTGCAGGCAGAGGGTGTGCTCTGCAGGCGAGCTGTGCTTCTAATTAATTTCTGGCTTGCGTGGCACTGAACAGATACACAGAGCCGAACAAAGGAAGGCCTGGAGCTCCTACAGGTTTTT